GGATCACCTTGGAACTGGCAGATAAACTCAGACATCTCGCCAACTTTTACTTTAAGTGAAGATATTTCTTTAACAAATACTGGATGTGAGCCTCCCAGACTTCCAAGATCTTTTATGTTTAACTCCACATTTTCACCTCTTCTCTCTTCCTTCTTTATAGCACCTATTTCAGTACTCATCTCCTTACCCTGTGTAGATCTCAGATTTCTCAAATCTCCACTTCTTTCATCCCTCTGTTGTTTCCATTCAGTGTTTTCTCTTGCAGTTCCCATCTCCTTTTCCATAGCTCTCTCTTCTCTTACTTCTGACTGGAAGTGTTGCCTGCTGGATTTATCAACATGCATAGCATGCTTCTCCCTTCTAAACCTCACCACTCCCTCTCTTTCTGAATCATCCTGTCGACTAAGGGATGGGGAGCTTCTCCTGACTGGGGAAGGCTCACGATGGCTTTCATAAGAGGCAGAGGTAAGTTCATATTCCTCATAAGGACGCCCAGTGAGCTGGGTTGGAGAGTATTTCTGGACTGATGAAGCCTGAGAGTCCTTTTGATATCTTACAGGGGCATCAGGTGCACCCACATGGTGTAGCAAACTAGCATCTGCAGCAGGGTGCCTGGCCATAGAAGCCTCAAAAGGAGGTGACAGGTCACACTTTGCAATGGGCTGAAAAACTGACGGTTTTTCTGTTGAAAATAAATGTGGAGGCGGGGGTTCACTGGGGTGGGCTTCATGAGACATGCCACTATGATGGGGCTCACAATAAGTCAGGGGCAGTTGGGGCCACTCAGACTCAAGCTCAGCTGTATCCTCTTGTTCTACTGCATCCTGTTGCCATTTTAATATGCGCTGAGCCAGTGCTTCTTCCTCACTTACAAAGTACTCACTGTCCCTCTGCAGCCTTGTCACACGGCCCTCTGTTGGCAGTTCACCAGCCAGAGGCCACTGCAGAGTTTCACCCTCCTGGTCTTGGAAACCAGCAGGAGCAGACTCACTAGAAACACATTTCTCTCTGACTGTGTTTGCCAATTCTAAAGCAGAGGCCTCTGCGAGATTTGTTCCTGCCTCAGTGGTCTTCCCTGCCTGGAAAGGTGAGTAACCTTGAAGTTCTGCAGTCTGCTCTTGTTCCATTAAAACATCCTGTTGCCACTTTCTTATTCGCTGAGTCAAAGCCTCCTCTTCACTAATAAACTTCTCACTCTCACTCTTCAGGTCTGAGATGTTTTCCCTCGACAGCTGGAGCTCCTTTTCTGCTCTCGTCTTCTCAAACAGCATCTTCTCTGCTCTAGCTTTTCTTTCAGATCTAGACTCATATTCAGCTTCTGCTGCTTTAGCTTTAAATCTCTGCAATTTTTGTTTCTCATGTTCCAGTTCTTCTACTTTTGTTTTCATTTGTCCTTTGACCAACTGGGCAGATGTTTCAAGCTGCTCTGCTACACCTTTGACTTTAGGTGCCATAGGCATTGGCACAGGAGCTATCTTTTTCTCCATTACTTCTTGTGGGGTGTGAATGTGCTTCTCACTCTCCTTGTACTGTGTGCCTGCTGGAATAGGCAGATCGGTTTCTGAGTTAAATGTCTCCTCTTCTGATATTCTCATGCCTTCCTGCCTGATCCCTAAGGGAAGGCGTTTCTCTTCGCATTCAGTTCCTCCAGTTTCTAGCTTCTTCTCATACGGAGCTCTAAAAAACTTGCCTGCAAACTGATCACATGGCTCAACCTGTTTTTCCCCTTTGCTGTCTGGTGTTTGTTTTTCACTAATAAATCTCTCTGAAATTCTGAATCTGTCCTCTGGCCTTGGTCTTGTTCTTGGTGACTTTTGGGACTTTTGCATCAGCGTCTGTGGTGCTGTGTCTTCTTCTAGCCCAATTGTCACTGTGGAAGCTTTTGTACCCACAGAGGCAGACCTTTCCACCTCTCTGCTTCTCATCTTTATTGTAGATGTGGGTGTTGATTGAGCCATTCCTTCAGGATTATCTTCCCATGCCTCTTTTTTGAGTGATTCATGAAAAGAGGAGTGCATGGCCTCAGTTTCCACAGTTGCTCTTTTCTCCTGCTGGTTGTAAATGTGCCCTGTGGGCTCTGTGGACTTTGCCTCAGGGACAATGGGCAGATCAGTTTCAGGATCATATGTCTCCTCTCCTGGCATCCTACTCCCTTGCTGCCATTTCCTGATCCTCAGGGCAAGGAGTTTCTCCTCACAAGCTATTCGTTCAGCTTCCAGGCTCTTCTCGTAACGAGCCCTCAAATCCTCCCCAGCAAATGCTTCTTTACACAGATCAGCTGTTTCTGTTGCTGCTGTGTCTTCTCTAAGAAACCTCTCTCTGGTAGATGTGACTGACTTTGGCATGGTTGACTGTATGAGTAATGTTGCTTCTTGAGAAGGCAGACTTTTAACACGTTCCCCACTTTCAGTGTACATTGTAGTTTCTGGGTAAACCGCTTTCTCACCGAGCGGTCCTTCAAGGTTGCATGCTGTCATCCCAACATTTGTAACCTGCACCTTATGGTCATCAACCACATCTGCTTGTATTTCAACAAAACCCTTGACTTTTTTATCCTCTAGTTTCTCTGAATGTTTGTCGTCTGATGTCTTTTCTGTTTCTGACACACTTGTACTGACCAGCTCACCTCTCATTAATTGGATGGCCCTGGTTCTCGACTGAGGCTCGAATGAATGTCTAACACAAGGCTCAGCGGGATCCCTGCTAGAGGTTTTACCTTGAAACTCCCTGTACGTCTCACCCAAATCAAAGGGTCGATTGAAATGCTGAACATCAGGCAGAGAAGCAGGCTTGACCCTAAGTCTCTCGACATAATCTGCATAGCTTGACTCGCTGGCGACAGATTCTAACTCAAACTCAGAGGAAGACATGGTGGAAATAGAAAGCCTCTTTTTCTGTTTGACAGCTTTTTGGAGTGTAGTAAGTTTTGTTCTTACCTCATTGTGGAGACTCTCAGTGTCACTGAACCTCTCACTGTATCTGTCACTGCACCTGTCACTGAACTTATCACTGAACCTGGTGCCAGTGCGTCGGTCACAGTAGATGTCACTGAATCTGTCGTTGAAGCGCTCAGATCTGTCAAACATCGGGGTAGGAGACAGGGCACGCTCAGAGGCAGTTTCTAACCGCTTAGACTCCTTTTCTGGTTCCTTGTCTTCTGAATGGGAACCAGGCATGAAGTACACAGTACGCACAAGAGCACTCTTAGATCGAGATCTACCCTGATGGACCTTGGACATTTTGTCAAAAGGAGACCCGACATATCTGAGGTCAACCCTAAACTTCCTCTCTTTCCTCTGCTCTGCCATGGTATCGATGCTCTCGTGGGCTTTAGCAGTGCGTCTAATAAAGCCAAGATAGTTAGCAGACTGCTCTTCCCTCAGTGACACCAGAAGTGATGCTGTGGATTCTGCAGAACCCTCTATGTTTATTGCCATTACCTTATAACTGCCCGAGTCCTTTTCTTTGACACCATGAATAACTAGACTGGTAGTGTGAACATGCATTTTGCTGTCAGTGTAGATCCTGCGTCTATGCTCTTTAGGTATAGATCTGTTATTATGAAACCAGAGGATAGTAGGAGGAGGGCAGGCAATCAGTTTACATTTGAACTCTGCTGCCTCCCCTTCTAAGATGGACTGAAACTTAAGTTTCTTTGTGAAAGATGGTTTCATGTTTTCTGTCCATGAGCTGATGGATGAAGTCCTGCTGGAGCAACGATTGGCTGACACCAGGCCATGATCTATGAAATCCTCAGTGTCGGAGAAGGCTCCTCTAAGCTGCCAAGTGGCAGTGAGTTCTGTGCTGCAATGCACAGTTTCTTCTTTTCTTTGAGGACAGAACAGTTCTGCAAACAGAAATGGACAACTGTCAGACCAACACAGCTTCCAGGGGTAAAAACTGAAAAAAGGACTTGAATGAATCATTAATGGAAATATTAAATGCATGCAAGGACTCACAATGCCATAAGAAAATTCACTCACCATATTTGTTCGAATAAACGCAAGACTTGATTCTTTTTATTAGAAACCTGCAGGAAGTTTTGATCCTTCGTCTGTGGAAATTTCTTCAAAACATATATTATTTTGTTGTGATTAAAGAAGCATATTTTCAAGATGGACTGCTACCGTTTGCGTGTTTTAGTTCTTGAAACTTGTTTTATGCTAGAATATTTCTTACCTGACTTGCAGACAGAAGAATAAACGCCCTTTCTAATCCTTAAACTTAAACAGGGAATGAAAGATGCACACGTATGAGATGCAGAACTCTCTAAAAACAAATATTATATTCCAAAATTAACCAATGAAGCAGCAGAATTTGGTGAGACGGCGTTTATTCGAACTAATATAGGTTTACTGGGGTTATTTAGAAAGCAAACCACAGGAATCACATTCCACTATCTGCAAGCCAGGCTAAGAAATATTTTGCAGGAGGAAGGTATCAGTTCCAGATTCGGCAATCCTCCATGTCTTTAAAAAATACAGACCCGCGTTTTTCTGGGAAGAAAATCAGATGAACTTTCATGCCAAAGATAAATAAACTTTTGAATGCAAACTGCTCAAGTTCAACAAATTCTCACCTGAGGGAAACCACACAACATTATCAAAGTAAGACCAGATGGAATATGAAAGATAATTCAGAAAGTGTTTATACATATATATATATATATATATACATATATATATATATATATAAAGATGTCATGCAACTGTGGAGGGTCAAAGTTCATCCTGAAATATAGAAATGATGATAAAAGCATGGACGCATGACAAGTACGATCCAACACAAAGCATCCACTCATGTAGCGGTTATCACTTTGCTCTCACAAACAATTTATCTGCTTCAGTGAGCCACAGCTTGGAGTTATCCAGTGACAGACTACTTTCAAATCAAAATTCAGTTGAGAGAAATCTGCTCCAGCTGTAGTTTTTCCACTCCATCCATGATGGAGCAATGCTCTCGCTCTAATATGTGGTGAAAAGTTAACTTTATGACCTTACCTTTGACTTCCAGCTCAGTCTTGGTTTCAGCCTGCTCTCTCACGTGAGTCACTGTGAAGAAAGCCATGACATTTATTCCCTTTTCATCAACACACTGATCCCAACATGGGCAGATGTAGACACACATTTCTTTCACATATAATGTACATTTACATGTGTACTGACAGTTTTCTACCCCTCTTAATGTCTTTCCCTACAGAAAGTATTGCTTCCATATCTTTATTCTGAGCAGGTCTCAGAGTGTTTGGATAATTTTCTATTTTTTTCTTTTCTGTTTTTAATACTGCAGTGCGCTCAAACACACTCAAATAAATGTAAGTCTTACTGTAGCTGCCTTGAAGCAAATTCACATTCTGTATCTGAAAATGAGTCAGGTTACTAACTTCTGTCAGTTCCTGTTTTGAGGCTTTTTTGTTAAATTTTTCTGATTGAAAAATAATTTCAGAGAATCAAACCCACTAGTAACTAATGTGACAGTGAATGTTGCACCTCAGTTCAGGACATCCTCTCAAGTTTTGCTTGGAGCTAATTAGGACGGGTTACCTTCTTCGTTTATGGTGAGTGTGGCTGAGCACCTGGCCTGTTCAGCAGTATTAGCAGTCTTACAGGAGTACTGGCCAAATCATCCACTACGACGAGAGTGTTTTCATCAGACAGTGTTTTCATTCTTGTTAGGCTAAACCGAGTGTTGGTTGTGGAACCAGCTTATTTCTGATTTTGGCATGCTAGCTACACACAGATAAAAGTGGGCCTCCCCCCATGTGGCACTGTACAGCTTGTGATTGGTTGGATGAAATTGGCTTTTGGCAAATTGAAGGTATCTTTAGGTGAGTGATGTTGGTGGTGGCTGATCTGTCCCACGTTTGCTTTTGCCCTGAAATAACGCATGTTCATTGGCTCAGTGTACTTTGTTCTATTTACATCCCAGTAAGCACCATTTGTGTGATCTGTCAGGAGCTGGGAATAAGGGAATATCTTCTGTCCTTTCACAGCATAACAAAAACTACAAACTAAACTAACTAACTACAAAAATACTCAAAACAACCAAAACTACTTGGACCAGAGCAAATGATCCCTCACTATCATGGCTGAGCGTCCCCACTAGCATTTCAAATCACTAAACTGAAAGTGACTGAGGGCTCATGAGGTCATATTTCAGTAAAGAAAGCGTGGATAAAAACTTTGACACAGAACTCAGGTGAAAAAGGAAAAGGTATACACAATGATATTTACTTGTTTGTATTTTTATGAAAGATTGTTCCCTGAGCCTTGGTCACCTTTCATTGGATTCCTATATAACTATAAAACACATTGCAATGGGAGTAATTTTACAAAGTTAATTCTACATGGTTAATAAACACTTCCAACACAAAAGCCCACATTTTTCTCATTTTTATTATTATTCATTTTATGATCCTCCAATGCCACCATAGGCAGTACGATGGGTTCTTTCCGGGTACTCCAGCTTCCTCCCACAGTCCAAAGTGATGCAATTAGTAGTGATAGGTTAATTGGTAACTCTAAATTGTGAACACCTCTAAAGGTGTGAATGTGAGTGTGGATGGTTGTCTGTCTCTATGTGCTAGCCCTGCAACAGACTCGCGATCTGTCCAGGGTGTGCCCTTCCTTAGACAGCTGGGATGGGCTCCAGCCGATGGATGGATGAATGCCATCATTACACAGGCAGATTTTTTCCCTTTTTCCTTTGCCCACTGTTGTTGCTGTTGAGATTCACTTTAATGTATAACTTAATCCTAACCTCAAAGAACAAGTTCTGAAAACTGAATGTGCAGGATTTGTTATCGCCAGACAGCACAACACCAAATCATAATCTACAGATTCAGTGAGAGTGTGTTGATCTGAAACCAGCACTGCTGTGAGCTTCTGTTAGTGACACTTCAATTGTCTCAGAGTAAGAAAAGCAGCCTTTCTTTTTAGTAATAAACTCACCGTCTAATGTAAGAGTTGCAGAGCAGGACACCGTCCCTCCATTGTTTGTGGCCATGCAGGTATACTCGCCCTCGTCCTCTGGATAAACCCTGGAGATCTCCAGCTGACAGCTGTCATCAAACTGAGATATCCTGAAGAATTCGGACTGTTTGATTTCCTTTTTCTTGTGGAACCAGCTTATCTTCACATCTTGATGGTTGACAAAGGAAAAAGCACGGCTTGTGTAAATATACTGCAGTAAATTTGCACTGTGGGTCAACAGCAAGAGTAAATAAGTCAGAAGGTGGTTAATTAGTCGCGTGCCATAATCAAGTTTCAGTGAAGTCCCAATGGCTTCAAGAGAAGACCAAAGGACACACTACTACTGAAACTTATGCGTAGGTAGGAAATTCCATTCACAGGAAGTGGCCACAGGTTTGAATAAAGTTTCAACTTAAAATTCTGTGCAGCGTAACTACCAGGAACTGAGCAATACCATCACTTTGTTTCAGTATTAAAAAAATCACAGCATCACTCAATAAGAAATTGTATTTTTTACCATCTCCACGGACTTTGCACTGGAAGCAAGCTGGTGCGCCCTCGCAGGCTGAAGTGCTGGCCATGGGTGAGATGATGACAGGGGGAGCAACAGTGGCGGGGGAGTCTGGAGAAACCACCTCTGAAACTGCAACACAAGAACCTGAATCAGTACAGATACAGCCACTTACAATGTCTGCCTGGACCCTGGCAGGGCAATGGTGGGTCCTCGGCCAATCCTTGACTGGTCTCCTTGACGGTTGCTATATTGCCGCCTGTGACGTGGACGACACAACTATGAGTAGTAACGCCCTTAATGAGCAATCAGTGGTAAAAGCATGTGTATCCACCAGGGGGAGCAGTGTGGAGGCTCCCTGCAGGCTTGCACTGCATATTCATACACTTTCTAATTAGCTGGTTGGTTAGCGATGCAAAAACTCCACACGCTGTCAGGTAAGAACACTCTTATACAAATAGTCTTCTTCTTTATCTTTTCCAAAACTTTAGGAAAACTTTTGTCTTTTCGTATTTTAGTGCTTGTTGTTCTGCTGCCCTACATCATTTGCATTATATTGAAGCTATCATCACCTCTTAATGATCACGTTGAATTAATAATAAAGTGCAACTTAAAAATATGCAGAAGTCATTTCCACCTTCTGGTACGATCTGACCTATTTCTGGTGGAGAGTTGTGTCCATGAAAACTGTGATGTTGGGCTAATGGCGAGAGCATGCACTCTACTCAGGAAAAAATGCCGATTTCAGCAGAAACCAACAATCTGTTTTATACAAAACTGACTATCAAGTCACATCCATGTCTCACCTTCAACATTGAGTGTTGCAGTGCTTGTGGCAGTGCCATACTCGTTCTTGGCCTCACAGGTGTAGACAGCAGCGTCTTCAGGAAAGACCTCGATGAGCAGCAGTGTGTGCTCGTTGCCATCGTGCAGGAACTTGCACTTGAAGCCAGCGGAGAGAGCCTGGGAGTTTTTGTACCAGAAGACCTGAGGCTGGGGAACACCGCTCACCTGGACTGAGAAGCGAGCTGGTTTTCCAGCCTCCACCGACTGGGGCTCCATGTGGCGAAGGATCTGAGGAGGCTCGGGGACTGAACGAGGCAGAATATTTTAGAGGTAAAGTTTAACTGGAATATACGGATATTCTTGCTCCATCCTCTCATGTCACTTCCCCTGTATTAAGTTCATGTGTGTCTATGTATTTGGTCACCATATTTCACTTCCTGTGTTATTTGGATTCTTTGTCCTCTGTGCCTTGCTTTTAGTTTTCTCATCATCCATTTCTTTTCAGCTGTGTTTTGCTTTCATCACATCTCCACTTTCCTGATTGCTGTTCTCTGTGGGTGGATTTAATTTTCCCTTTTGTGCTTCATGTTTTGTTTCCTGGACCTTTTGTGATGTAATATGAATTGCTTTCTTGTGTCCATCCTTCCGTGTCTGCATTTAGGCCTGCTAGAACCTTCAGCTGCATGTACAGCGGTCCCTCGTTTATCGCGGGAGTTACGTTCTAAAAATAACCTGCGATAGGCGAAAGTAGCCAACTTTATTTTTTACAATTAACATAGATGTTTTAAGGCTGTCAAACCCCTCACTACACACTTAATACACTTTTCTCTCTTATTTAAATATTCTCAAAGTTCAGGCCTTGTAGAAAAATAAGTCCAGTATTACAGAATGAAACCAAAGGGACCTGCAGGTGACGACGTTTTCAGCGTTGTTGTGTTTGTTGGGGAGAAAACTTCACGTCAGAGTCACGCTGCTAGCAATCGAAGATTTATGTAAATTTGACAAGCTGAACGCATTCTGTACTGTACAGGAGACACAGCACGAGATTAATTGACAATGCGCTGTAAAAAACCCAAAAAACTAAATTGCACCAAAAAAAATCTGCGAAACCGCGAAAGGCGAACCACGTTATAGCGAGGGAGCGCTGTATATACTTGAGCTTGTACATATACGTTTAACCCTGTGATTAGAGAAAAGTCCTAAAAAAATTCAAACCCAGTTCTAATTTTATTTAAATCATTAAAGATATATGCTGAACAGACATTTTACCCTTAAAAATAGCAGCTCAAAGAAATAATTATAAAGCCAAAATGGTGAGAATGATGAGTGTATGTAACCTTCAAAGCACAATTGTATCACTGATGAGAAAGTTTGAAATAAATGGCCTTTTTAGAAACAAACAAGAAACAACCAGTTTTTATGTGTTCATACTGTACATCATTCTTTCTGTGTGACGTCACGCTGGACTTACTGTTTATTCGAAGCTGCATGGTGCTTCTATTTTTGCCAGCGATGAAGGTGTACTCCCCAGCATCACTCCTGTAGGTCTCTGAGATGGTGAGGCGATGCAGCTTCCTGATGGTCACGTAGTTAAATCGTTCTTCCATCGAGAACTGGATCTCCACACCGTTCTTCAGCCAGTGACCCTCCACATCTTCTTCATTCACTTCAAACTCAAAGGTTGCACGGTGTTTCTCCAGAACCTAGGAGGGGATAGTGAAATATTTACATTTCTATCTCTGTTCAATTCAATTGAGTTTTATTTATATAGCGCCAAATCACAACAACTGTCGCCTCAAGGTGCTTTATATTGTAAGGTAGACCCTACAATAATAGAGTTAAGGCCCTATTTTCTGTTGAAAATGTCAGTAAATACAATCACCAAGCACCCAAAATTCTACTATTTAAGTTGCTTTTTAAAATGTGAGTGCAGTAAAACATGCTGTGGGGGACTGACAAACCTGAGCGGGTCATATGTAAACATTAATAGTTATTTTTTATTTTTATGGCCAATCGTCACTGCTTCCACAGAAAGAACAGAATAATATCTAAATATTTACACACTGTTTCTAGTGTATCTTTATGCCTTATTACTTTAAGGCATATTTCTAAATAAGAAATAAAAGAGAAATAAAAATGTTAATGTCAGGTTCAGTATCTGTAAACTTCGCCCGTGTCTTTCCAAGCTAAAACATATAGATGCACCAAACTGACACTAACTTCTCTGCGTAACGCCTGTGGTTGTGAAACAGAGCAGCTTTGGTTGCAAAAGTTAACTTAGGATTAAAATAAGATGAAACTCATTGCAATTAAATAAATGAACAGTCTTAAAAAACAGCGAATCACCTTTAATCCTCAAACTGTGATTACCTGAAAGACAGAAGTTTTATTCTGAAACATCAGTAAATGAACTTTAAAACCACTTCACCGTAATTTCCCGCTCAGGAGGTTCCGAGATCCGAATGTCGCGACCCTCCACTGTGAGCCGGGCCTTGGAGACGCTTGATCCAGCTACCACTGAATATTCCCCAGCATCAGACATTCGAACCGTCTGGATCACGAGGCGGTGAACATACTTCTCTGCTGTCACAATATACCTTTGGATTCAAGGCAGAAGATATCCAACTCACAATTAACCTCTAAAAGCTTTCATTGTCCAAAGGAGACGCTGGGAATAGTGATTTTCAGATTAAGTGTGGCCAAACTTTGACGAGCACTGACAGACCTTTCCTCAGACATGTCCATCTCCTGACCGTCCTTCATCCACATCACCTGGATGTTTGGCTCAGAAACCTCACACTCAAAAATCGCCTTCTTCTTCTCTGTGATCTTTATGTCCTTGATCTTCTTGGTGAATTCAATCACACGAGCTGAAAGAACAACATTTTCAGAGACGTTTCGTAGCATTTCTCACCTCTACAGACTGTAAACGTGCTCAGCACCAGGTTACCTTCGACAAAGAGATTAGCAGTGGTGGCAGCAGAGCCGGCCACAAACTTGTACTCTCCTCCGTCTCCAAAGTGAACGTTTCGGATGGTGAGGGAGTGCGTAAGCTGCCGACTGCGGACCTGGCACCTGTCCGACGACTTCATTTCCACGCCGTTCTTCAGCCATTTGTACGTGATGCCTTCATAGTTGACGGTGACCTCAAAGGTGATAGTGTCTCTCTCTTGGGCATTCAGGTCCTTCAGCATGGAGGTGATCAGAACCGCTGGAGGACGAAATTTGAGGGAAATACAAAAAGACACATTCACTGTGTTTGCTTTTGAAAAATTTCAGCTATTACTGTATGCAGTTATTCAGATATGCAGCTCAAATATATAGCGAGAATTCTGAAACTTTAAAGCTTAAAATATGTTAAATTAGGTGATTATATAATTTAGAAATTATTTTAACCCCCCTTTTGAGTCTCATTCTGATACAGTATTTTCATATCACGTTGTGGGAGGTCAGAATTCTTACGGTTGACGGTGAGTGTTGCAGACACTTGGTCGTTGCCACAAATGAAGGTGTACTCTGCAGAGTCGTCCCTGCTGGTGTTCATGATCTTCAGCTGATGGAGTTTTCCCTGAACCACAATCCTGAACTTGTCACTCATCTCAATCTCCACTCCGTTCTTCAGCCAGGTGGACGGCACATTGAAGTGGGAGACTTCACACTCGAATGTGGCCACTTGAGTCTCTGGTACCTCCACACTTTTCATGGGTTTAGTGACCAGCAGAGCTGCATGTAGTAAATCAGGTCACAAGACATGGATAACAAAAGATTAGACAAATATTCTTCTCGTCTCAAACACCATAAACATTCTTTATATTCTTCAGTAAGTGGATGGACTGCTTTTCACGCTACCTGCAATCTGTGCTTAAGTGTTTTTGATCTAACATTCATACTCTGATGGATGTGTCAGAGAGCAGCTTGGAGTTACTATCTTGCGATCTAAATGCAAGACTTCACATGCAGTTTGTCTTATAGTTCTACATACCCTCCACGGTGAGTACAGCACTGCACTGCAAGTGTCCAACCACAGCCACGTACTCTCCTGCATCGCTGCTGTCCAGATTCTTCAGGATCAGTTTGTGTGCTTTCCTCTCAGACAGAATCTTGCACTTCTCACTTGACTTCAGCTCCAAACCTTTAAACATCCACCTAACAGGGATGTTGTCATGTGAGAGGCTCATCTCAAAGGAGGCTGTGCCATCCAACAGAGACGTCACATCTTTTATCTTCTTCACAATTTTGATTTCTGCAGGAAAAAAGTAGCAGATAAACCACTCATGTGATATGATGATACCTGACAACATTGTGCACAATTCTTGGTTATGCTGATAAAATCTGACACTTACTCTCTACGTTGAGTCTGGCATTGGCAGAAAGTTTTCCAAGTTTGAAGGAGTAAACAGACTCGTCCTGTATGTTGCAGTCCTTGACCTTCAGCGTTTGGACCACGCCACTGGAGACGATCTCGTACTTTTCGCTGTTTTGCAGTTCCACCCCGTTCTTAATCCACTGGGATCCTTTCACATCGGGGTGTGTGAGCTCCAGTGTGAACACTGCTTCCTGGGTCTCCGTCACGGTCTGGTTCCTCAGAGTTTTCTTGATCTTCACTCCTGCATATAAATATAAAGCTCTGCTAACTTTAATGTATACACACGGAGGTGATTCGTTAGTTTTGGAAGCATTTTAGTTCTGTCAGGAGAGGTGGGACAGACAGAGACTGAAGTCCCCCCGGCTTACCTCTCATCACATCTGAGAGTACAAGTTCTTAACATCCAGCCTCTTATGTTAAAAGTGATGCAGAGCGCTAAATGGAGTCTATCTGTATGTGCTTTTACTCATAAATCATCTTTTTTTTTAATCAAACATACAATAGAGATATAAGTCTAATTAATATGAGGAATGAAACTTATTCTAATGTGCAGATATTATCCAGCTTCATCCTTGGCACATTGGTGTCACACATGATTGTATGATACATGAAGTATGTTGCAAGTGTTAAACACAGATTAACATGAGGGGATTTTGCTGGTGGTTAATCGTGTTTCGCTTCCTAATAGTGATCAGAATATAATCAGGTATAAATTTAACCAACATACAAATAAGAAAATATAATCTATAATAATGATTCTAGGTGCAGGCCTCTCACTGAGTGTGTGTGTGGAGATGACCTCAGAGGCTGTGGGTGTGTGTGGGTGTGGAGGATGGGAGGGGGAAGTGAGCGAGCCGGAGAAGCCACTAATCTAAAAGAACGTCTGATTTTAATGTGCAGGATTTAATAAAAGAAATCATATTGAGTATAATGGGACAAATGAACAGAGTTATGAAGAGAAAAAGTGAGAAAATGAATGTGTTAGGACACATGAGGTGGCAGTAATGGTGGATGGATGTCACAGCCACTGTTATTGAGGTGAAATTATAGCAAGTAACACCAGAGGAACAACCAATGCCGACACTGTGGGCTCACTAATTGGATTTAGGATTTTTGACTTTTTCTCTACTTATTTTTGCCGTTTGAGATTATAAATCCAAGAGGATTGAGATTTCCATTGTTTCTGAATGGGATGCAACTTCCATGAACTTGGCTCTATTTCTATTGGACAATATCCACACAGAGATGAGTGTGTCTGTGGCCATTCTCTCCTCAGACCATCTCCTCTCAAAGATTCTAATAAAATCAGCATTAACTCAGAATCAGTTAATTAGGTAAGAATAATTCAAGTAATTTGATTCTGTAATAATTATTCTAATTTACTTTGGCTTTTGCTTTAATAAAATACGTTGTATTCAAAAAGTTTCATTTGTGAACCTTTTTAAACTTTCGTGAAACAGTAAATGTAAAAACCTGAGGATGAATCCATATTAGTATAAATAGCTCCTATTATTCTTAGATTTACAAGCTGCTAAGTTACTGAGGGCTCCCATTTTTTTTTTTTTGTTTGTTTTAAATGAGAGGAGCCATGGTAGTTAGTACTTATAGAGGGATAGTTAGTACTGGATGAATCCCCTCACCCATACGCTCCATCTAAGATCTGCTCCGCCTTCTGGGTAAAACTCATAGGATCAGAGATTAGGATTAATCCCGACTTCCAGTATTGGAGTACTGGTCCCATGGATCGACCGTACAAATATAACACTTATTATAGTTACTAGAGCTATAATATGTATAATAACTACTGCAAATATTGTGATAGTGAGTCTGTCTGAAACTATCATAAAAGTTTAAACAAACATTTACCAAGTCATTATTTTTTGCGACAAATGAACAGGACATTCCCAGATAACCTTTAGAGCTGTATATAACAGACAAAATCTTTCAGTTTTCAGCACTCACTTTGCATTTTTCCCACAAAATGTTAATTTTTAAATTTTCTTTCAATAACTACTTTTATTTTGATTGTCGTATTTAATTTACCTCAGTATGTTCCCGGTAAATGTCCTGTTTTATTTATCTTGGTTATGTGAACACCATGTGTGTGTGTGGTAGTGGGAAGCTAGTACTTACCCTCCACCCTGAGATTAGCTGTAGTTTTGGAGTTGGCCACCTGGTAGGTATACTCTCCGACATCCTGTGGCCTGGTAATGTTGATGATGAGGCGCCTGATGGCTCCGTTCACCTCACTCACCACATTCTCATTGAAGTCAATGGGCTGGCCCTCCTTAAGCCACTTGCCCTCAGCATTGGCATTTGCAACTTCACACTCAAGCTCAGCAGTCTGAGACTCCGCCACTGTCACATCCTGCAGGGGCCGTGTAATGGCTCCACCTAATGGCAGCAGAAAGTAACATTTCTGTTTCACTTCTGACCACATGTCCTAATCACAGAAACAGCAAATGCCAACACACACAATCTTCTGTCATAATAAAAAAACAGCTGCTTTAAAATAATCCACGTTTTTGTCAAAGATGGGTATGGGTAGGTATAAATGTCAGCAAAATGTGAAATGTGTACCAACAATTAAGTAACAAATTATCATCTAGTGTGTGGATTTCCCTTATCTGAAGTGGCAGGTCAAGGAGCAGCAGTCTGAGAAGAGACCAAACCTTCTTCTTCCCACCCACTTCCTCCATCCAAGGTTGCACCAAGTAATTCCCAGGCCAGCCAAGAGACATAATCCCTCCAGCATGTCTCGTGTCTACCCTTCCTCACCCAGGAAACATCAGATGCACGAACCACCTTACCTGGCTCCATTCTATGTGGAATGAATCCCTCTCAGATAACTGAGCTCCTATATCTAAGCCTGAGCACAGCGATCCTTCAGAGAAAACTAATTTCTGTGCCTTGTTGTTAAGATCTCATTCTTTTGATCATTACCCAGAGCGTGTGACCATAGAACAGAGTAGGGACGTAGATCAACCAGTTTATCAACATCTTTGCTTTTACACCCACCTCTCTCTTCATCACAATGGAGGGTTACAGTGTCCAAATCGCTGTAGTCGCTGCACTAATCCATCAATCCCCTACTTCCCTCTCCTCTCACTCTGAACAAGCCCAGGATTCTTAAATTCCTCCACAAAAACTCATCTCTGGCCCAGAAGCAAGCAAGCAATGGATACCCCATGTTCTCGAATGCCTTCTCCTAATCCACAAAACACTTGTAGAATATGCTTGAATATTCTTGAGAGGATAGAAAACTTGTCCAGCTCTTTACGTTGAGGAATACAACCACGTTGTTCATCTTCAATCTGAGGTTCAACTAATTGATGTATTCCCTTCTCCAGTAATCTGGCATAGATCCTCCCAGGGAGGCTGAGGAGTGCGATCTTTCTTGAAGATGGGCACTACCACCCCAATGTGCCAGTGAGTCTTTTTTAAAATCAGTGATTGTGTAAATGATTTCATCTGAGTAAAACACACAATATCCATAATATCTTAAAAGTTAGACATACCAGAGACAGTAAGCTTGGCACTAGATGTCTTTTCACCAGCATGAAACATGTACTGGCCCTCCTCATCTTTCATGGCGTCAATGACTGTCAGAGAGTGAGCCTTTCCCTTTGACTCAATCTTGGATTTAGGTCCAGGTTTGATTTGCTGGTTCCTGAATGTCCAGACTGAGTCAATTCCAGGGTGAGAGACTTCAACATTAAACGTCACATTCTGGGACTCTGAACACACTTTGTCCTCCATGTGTTTCACAATGTGTACCTCTGTAAAAATGAAATGGTTAGAGTATGAAAGTGAGACTGGAACCTAAAAACAGTATCACGCTGAAAGTACAATGCTGTGAAAAAGTATTTGCCCCCTCCATGATTTTTTTGTATATATTTTTCTCACACTAATATTTTCAGTCAGCAAAATTTACACTAAGTTTAGACCAAATGATAATTTAATTCTTTAAGGAAAAAAGGTGCCTGAACTTACATGGCTTTATGTGAAAAAGTAATTGCCCCGCTTGTTAAATCATTAATTAACTGATTAGCCACATATTTTGGAAAGCCGAGTTCAATAGTCACACCCAGAGCTAATTACCAACAGACCTGTTGACTAGGGATGGGTATCGGTTCTGACATAAACGGTAGTAACCAGACCGAAAAGCGCACATTTCGGTGCTTTATTTCGGTGCTTTATTTTCCTGAGCTGTGATACACTTTAGATTCTAGCCAATCATTTTACGTTTCCGAGGATAGTAGGCGGGCCCAGGTACGTACGTTCTTTTAGAGCAGAGCTACAGATTAAAAATGCCCAAGGCGAAGCGATCAAAAGTCTGGCTGTACTTCACAGCAAAAGATGCAAACTCAGCAGCAACAAGTGCTTTAAGCTGATACTGTGATACTGTCAAAGGAGGTAACTCCTCGAATCTGACGACGAACCTGGCGACGTATAGCATTTTGTTAAAAGCCGAGAAATGCACGGTATTTGATAGCTTGCTAAACATGAGAGGTTTTTGGACAAAGTGTGTGTTCTCCATTCTTTAAGCACCGGTTCAAGCACCGTTTCAAAAGTACCGGTTTGGTACTGGTATCGTATAAAACCTAAACGATACCCATCCCTACTGTTTACAGACTCCAAAAAGGCACTGATTACTCTTCCAGGAGGTCACAAAAGAACCCAAAACAACCTCTAAAGAACTTCAACCTTTTACAGCCACAGTTAAAGTCAGTGTTCATGATTTAACAATAAGAAACATAAGTGCAAATATGGCATCCAAGGGAGACGTTGACTACAAAAGACACAGTTGACCAAAAGGCAAAAAACATTACAATGATTATACACCCACACGGTGATCTGAAGCACTTTAGCATATCCACCTTTAAACTGGTCAAAAAACAAAATAAAGGTTCAGGAGTCAGTCAAATCCAGTTAAAATCTGGACTGGGATCCTGTTGTGATGCTTTGGCGTGACTTTAAACAGACCGTTTATGTTCAAAAACCCTCCAATGTGGCAGAGTTAAAACAATTCTACAAAGACGGCAGACAACATTCATACACAGTGATGTGGAAGATTCAATGTTTCATTGCAGTTCTTCCTGCCAAGAGTGGCCTTACCAGTTATTTGGTTAGGATAGGCCAGATAGGTTTGGATAGCTTTTTGCCTTAACAGATAAAATCGTCATTTAAAAACTTTAAAAATTTTTGCCTTTACTTGGGTTATAATATTAAAATGTGTTTAATGATCTGAAATATTTAAATATGAGATGTATGAAAAACAAAATCCAGAAGGTGACATATACTTTTTCACTGCACTAAAAATCTTTCTTACCTTCAACCGTCAGGCTACAGCTGGTGTCAACCTTGCCAACAACTAGTTTATAGTGACCCTGATCAGATGCAAAGGTTCTGGTGAAGACCAGCCGCTGCTTTGCTCCCTTTGCCACCATTTGGATTCGGTCACTGGGTGTCAACAGTTTGTCATTATGGTACCATTTGACAGAGCTGATGTCCTGGGCAGAGATCTTAGCCTCCAGGACAGCCTTTGTGCCTTCAATAGAGGATACATCCTTCAGTGGCACTACAATGTCAATAGCTGTAAGAAAGAGCAACAAGATGACAGTCAAAAGTCACAATTTTTTTTAACAAAATATTTTTAAGTTTATATTCAAACCCAATTCTAACTCTTACTTTGAACACTGAGTTTGCCTGAGGTGGAGATGTCCTGGGCAGGAACCACAAAAGAGTACAAGGCAGCATCTTCTGTGCTGATATTCTCCACCAGCAGCTTGTGAACCATCTTGTCAATGACAATGTGGATACGTTCCGAGGCAGAAATGGCCTGGCCGTTCTTCATCCAGGTTCCCTCAACATTCTCTTGGGAAAACCTGACCTCCAGCTGAGCAATATCACCCTCACAGACTATCAGATCAGTCAGGGGCTGCATCAGTGTCACTGGACGCACTGAAGGCAGAGGTAAAAACATGCAATCAGACAATTACCCACAATGTTTTTCAACAGGTTAAAGTTGTGAAACAACAGAACGCTGTTGAAATACACTGATGAAAATTCTCTTGTTTGCCAGCAGCAGTAACATGCACTTCACATTTTAAGCTTACGTTTCATTTTTAGTGAGGCACTGGTCTTCAGATCACCGCATACAAAGGTGTATTTTCCCTGGTCCTCTTTCCTGACATCCTTGACAGACAAAGTGTGTCTTCCTCGACGTGACGATATGATGTATTTATTGCTGGGTGAGAGAACTTTGTCTCCAAAGAGCCAGCTGCCCTCAGCATCTTCACGAGATAACTCGACCTCAAACTCGCCAGCATAGGATTCTGGTACCTCAATGTTCTCCATTTGTTTGATGAGCTCGAGAGCAGCACCTGGATACAGAACAACATACCGAACCATTTTTATGTAATTTACAGGAACAGGACAGTTCCGGTGGATATTCTAGATAAATTACCTTCCACGTGAAGCCTTGCACTCGTTCTTATGTTCTCATCATCTGCAATCACACAGGTGTATTCTGCGTCATCCCTCATTTCAATCATTAGCACAGATAGGAAGTGGACTTTTCTGTCAGAGTGCATTCTGTATTTGTCTCCTGAGAAGATCTCCGTGTTGTTCTTAAACCATTTGACTCTGACGAAGGGTTCATTGGTTTCACACTCAAAGGTCACCATGGTATCCTTCTCCTTGGCACTCGTATCCTCCAAGTTTTGGGTAAAGCTAACTGCTGTCTTGGCTGCAACAGCGAAATGAAGAAGACAAAAACAAATCAAGACAAAGAAAATTTAGCATGGCGCAGAAATGATTTTAGATGAACTTGCTTTACCTTGTACAAGCAGGAAGGCATGACTTGAGGACTCCCCAGCAATATTAATGGCCTTAACCATGATGCTAGCAGAATCTTGTGTTTCGACATCTCTTATGACCAATTCACATACATTGTCCTCAGGCCAGTACCAGTAAATACGGTCAGACTTTTCCAGCTGAATGCCATTCTTGAACCACTGACACTCAGGTTCTGGTCTACCAACTACTCTGACTCTGAAACGAACCTCATCCATTGGAGCAACAGTCTTGCTTGCAATGCGTTCCAGGATCTTGGGTGCTTCCATGCTGGGAGAGAGCAGGACCCGTTCAGGTTTTATTGTGGGGATAGTGAGTTTACCCTCTTCCTCCATCCTCTTCCTTTCAGCTTCTTCTTTCTCTTTCATATGATGGAGCAGCTCCTCTTTAGTCTTCTTCAATAGGTCTTCATAAGAGTCATCCCTCTTGCGAGACTTAAGCTCTACAGCCGAGATAGACTCATAGAAACCCTCCTCTGTTCTGCGCTTGAACTTGCTCTTCAGTTCTTCAGACTCCTCTGAAGTTTTCTCATGAAGAATTCTCTGTGTCTTACGCAGCTTAACCACTTCCCTGTCTTGTGAAGCCTCACTAGGTCGGTCCATCTTCACAATATCAAATCCAATCTTGCCAGGCTCGTGTGTAGCCTCTGCAAGTTTTGGTTCTGGTGCACGACGCAGGACAGTTCTAAAGTCTTCCCTCTGCTGGATCTCTAGCTTTACTGTGTGCTCAGCTGTTCCTAAAGGATTGTCAGCAACCACCCTAACCTCTCCTGAGTCATAGGACTTGATGTCAACAATCTCTAAATAGTAAATACCATCATAACGGAGTCTATATCTCTTGCTTTTGCGGATAAGTTGTCCGTTGAGGTACCAATTAACCTTTGGTGCTGGATAACCAGTTACTCTGCAGCGGAATCGTGCAATGTTGCCTTCCAGCACTCTTGCTGGTTCAGGAAGCAAGACAATATCAGGTTTTGTCTTTTCAGATTCTTCATCAGCGCCGACTCCTGCAGGTCCTCCCTCAGGAGCCATGCGCTCAATCTCATCCATCCTATATGCTCCCTTCCTGCCTTCAGGAAGTTGTGTTTCCTCAACAAGTCCCTTCTCATCCTTGACAATCAGGGTGGCTGAGGTCTGGTCAACTCCACATTTGTTTGTGGCTCTGCAAGTAATAACACCACTGTCCCTAGCATAAGCAACTTCATAATCAAGGCTGCAGTATCCAAATTCATTGACCATATGCAACCTATTAGCAGCAGCCAGAGGTTTGCCATCATGCAGCCACTCCACTACCATATTGGGGTCACCAATAGGAGTGAGTCTACACTCAAAATGGGCTGGTCCAAAACACTTCATTCTGATAGATGTCAACTTCTTCTTGAATTGTGGTTTCTGTTGCTTCTCCTTGTCATAAAGATCACCCTCCTCCCACTGCTCTTGGCCGTATCGCAAATGAAGCGGCTCCAACTCGGGTGCTGCAATCTCTTTAGCTTTGTAGGTTCCTCTAGGAATAATGAGCTTCCTCTCGGTTTGAGGGGCAGCAAAGTCCACCTCAACATTGACTCTGCAACGAGTGGTGTCTCTACCAGCCTTGTTGATGGCTGTAGCAGTGTACCAGGCGCTGTCTGAGCCTGAAGCAGATGGAATCTGGAATTTGGCTTCTCCTTTGGTGCCATCAATCCTGAAAAAGTAAAAGGTCACATATACTGAAGAAAGCACTTTTATACTGCACTGAAAACAAAATATAAAATACTAGATATTACATACTTTATCTGTGGATGCTTGTGTGGGGTGATGATGTCACTGTTTTTCAGCCACACAATGTCTGGCAGGGGGTTTCCAATGGCTTTGACAGCCAACTCAACCAGAGTGCCCTGCTTTACAGTGATGTTTTTCAGCTTTTCAACAAATTGAGGACGTGCCAGGGTTTCTTGAGCTATAGATAGCAAAAAACAACACAATGTCTAACAATATGATCTTTTGGTTAACTAAAAAGTTCAAGAGTGCTATATATCACTCACCATCAACAGTAAGAGTTACATTGAGAGATGCCCGTCCAGCTCTATTCTGAGCAACAACCGTCCACTCTCCAGAGTCTTGTGGTAGGGCTGGGACAATGATCAGGGACTGAGTACCATCCTCTTTAATCACTATCTTGTGTGTGTTATCATTGATCACTTGTTGTCCTGGGAAAAGAAGGGCAAAATGAGTTGACTGAGAGGCTGAATCAGAAAACAAAGGTAGACATCAAGAAATTTTTCTCTGCTACCTTTTCTGTTCTTACCATTGTGGAACCAGTATGTGTCAGGCATTGGCCTGCCAACAACTTTCAAATCAAATCGGGCAGTTTGCCCCTCAGAACATTTTATTGAGGAGGGCTTCATGACAAATACAGGTTTGTATAGTCTTTCAAGCTGAGCCTCATCTGTTTCGTCAAATCGACGGGCAGGAGACTGGCGAGGAGATCGGCTGGAAGAACGCCCTGGGGAGCGGCTCAGAGAACGAGGAGATGTCGATCTGAGAAAAAAGCAGTGTCGTCATTTGACATGGCTGCAGTTAAACAAAACAAATTTTAATGTAAAACATGCAGTGGATAGAAGCTTTGAAAGCTTTCAACCTGATATTGTGTGCTTATTAAAAGTGTGTGTATTATTAGTGTATTATTAAAGCACCACTATTATTCTGCTAGTCACCAATATTGTCTGCCTTTTTTAAAAGCTAAGCTATAAGCCAAAACATCCAACGTCCAGTTCTCATGGCGATATGTGATTTTCTTAATTTCTTTTTTAATTGTGCCATCATTAGATTACCTTATCCTCTGTACTGCTGGCTGTGGTGTGTATCTCTGCGGCGTTACAGCTTCGGATGGCTCCACATAAAGCTTTCCAGAGCTGACTGCATTTCCCTTCATGTTTGTGGAAAAAGCAGTGTACACGCCTTCATCCTCTGGCAGCACCACAGGCAGACGAAGACTGGCTCGCCCATCTTGAAGAACTTCAATTTGGTAACGCGCACTGGGCCTGATGCGCTGGCCATCTTTGTACCAGGCAATCTGGCACAAGATGACAGTAGATCAACAAAGCTGGCTAAACGCTATAAAACTGTGAGAGTGCGATGACTCGACAGAAAGCATGAAACATAGCTGTTTGTTGTACTGTCAGATTTAAATGTTTCTCTTTACAGCAACGCTGGAATGGTATTTACAAAATAATAAATAAAGTTGTTTCACTATATGAATGTGTCTCAATACCTTTGGCAGTGGTTTTCCAACCATCTTGCAGTGGAAAGTGACTCCCACTCCCTCCATGATCCTGTAGTTTTTCACTGGTGTGTCAAAGGCTGGCTGCACTGCCTCCTCATCTGCTATAGTCACTACCAGCTCTCCGTCCTCTGCCACAAGCTCTCTGTAAGTAATTGTCATGATACACAGTTCGATCTTCTGTATTATCCTCTCCTCAAAGGCTGAAATGAGGAATTCCTGCAAAAATGATGGACATTAATTATGAACCGTAGATTGAGATCTGTTATCACAGCACTGCAAATGTTTATAGCACAAGTACCGTTTCTGAGACAAAGCTCATCGGGGTTATTGTCCTCCTCTGTTCCAATTCATACTGACTCACGACCACGGAGGGTTCCTGAACCACTGACGTAGTCACTTCAGTTTTATATGTTACATCGTGCTGCTTCATATGTGCTTCATATTCCTCTGTAAACACAGATACGGATACGCAGATAAAGCCAGACACATCTTTTCAAAGTGATTTTTAAAGAAAGTTTAAAACTGCAAAAAACAAAAAAAGGATGCTAGTACCTTCCTCCAACAGGCTGGTGGAAGCTGAAGCTTCTCCGTGGGGATTTTTAGCAAAGATGGAGTATTCTCCGGCATCGTCAGCAAAGGTCATCGAGATCTCCAGTTTACATTCTCCAGTTTCCTTGTAGGCAACTTTGTATCTGATAAGAAAACCAAAACAAGCTAGTGCTTCATCGTCACAGCATGATTTCAAGGCTCAATAACAAATTGTTCTACCTTAATATTTGGTTTGTCACTGCCATTACTTACAAAGTAAAGTGGATTTTTATTTAAAAAAATAAAAAAACGATATGTTAGAGAGTGTACAACGTACAAAAGACAATGATAGCTAGCTCCAGTTAAGCAAATCCACAAAAAACATTGGCCGGTGATGTAAATATGTCTTTTCAAAGACACTAACCTGCTTTGCAATGACATGGTCATCAGAGGACCACTGTTAAAAGGACCTCATAAAGAAAATATCTGAACTGCTAAACACACGTAAGTTACCTACATGTTAATAAAGATCATTATCACAGTTGTGGTAATTTTTAAGGTCTGATCTAAAACATTAAAAATATTGCAAACATTACAAAACAGCTGACTCATAACGGAGCAGGACTATAACTGTTCCTGTTTGTTCCACAGATAGGAGATGAAATCAAAGAGATCAAATACTTATTTCACTCAGTGACATGCAAATCAATAGATTTCTGGTTGATATCTGTCTCTGTTCATTTCTTTGCAAGTCAGCAAACTCAGATATTCAGCAGGGGATCCATTTTTTCCTGTATGTATTTTATAATCTGTATCACCTGTATCCAGTGGTAAGCAGCACGCCATTCTTCTTCCAGATAATGTGAGGTCTTGGATTTCCTCCAACCTGGCATTCAAACACAACACTTCCTCCCTCCACTAGCTTCTGCACAGTGGGTTTCTTGATGAAGAACGGAGCTGCAGGTTCTCCTGCGCTCAACTCTGTCACTGTCTGCAGCTTTGTTTCAGCTGCAACACTGAAGAGGAGCAATAGCTTTATCAATTCTGCAGCTTTGGATTCTTACATGACTATAAATCTGCAAAGAATGAATCTGACTTTTACAACTCACGTTTTTTCTTGTGTGATTGCAATTTCTGTGACAGCTGTTTCCTCTCTGCTTTCGATTTCTTCTGAAACTACAAGAGAAAGTGAAAGTCAAATTAGTTTGTATAAAACTTGATGATCTGTAGTTTAACATGTTTTAGCATGTCCACAACTTGGACATTTGACTCTGTTGTGTTCATCAATTTTCAAGTGTACCAGGTGACCGCAGGCTCGTGCAAAAATCCAGTTGTTTTTCTCCTCTACAGTAAATTCATTTCCATACAAGCTTGTCAGCTTTACTTTGGCTTATCATTCCAGTATAGATACCTTTCACAAGCAGGTAGCAGGAGGTGCTCACAGTTCCTGCTTCATTGGTGGCAGTGCAGGTAAACCGGCCACTGTCTTCAGCAAATGCCTCACGAATAATCAGCCTGGCAAATCCGTGCTCGTAGCTGATCTGGAAGTCAATGGAGCTCTCGATCTTGTAGTCCTCCCTGAACCAGATTATGACCGGGGAAGGGTGACTGCTGATTTTGCACTCCAAGGTCACTGACTCACCTTCGGTCACAGTCAGGTTCTTCAGTCCCTGAAATAGTCATAAAGAAGTTTATAGGATGTACGGCAATTTTACATCACATTTATATTCTGAAGACAAAAAGGCCTACTAGGAGTAAATAGTGATCAGAATACGCTCTTTAACTCACACGTTAAAATGTCCTCGTCTTGTAATATTGTCAAAATTAAACACATGCTGGAAACTAGTTCATGCATTTGTTACTTCTTGGCCAGACTAATGTAATTCCTTATCAGGCTGTTGTATAAGCTCTGTTAAATGGTTAAAAATCGATCCTACATGCTGTAGCGAGAGTACTAAGGGAGAGAAAGAACGATCATATTTCTATAATATTATGTTGTGAATTGTTTTCATGTTCTCGTACATTATTGGGTTCACTTAGCAAAAAATGTAAAAATATATTATTCCTTACATTGAATGTAAAATAGATACATTTGAATCACAAACTGTAATTATGTAGTATTATTATGAAAACTGATGACAGGAAGAGCTTTAAATGTTGCTACCTTCAGTGGCTGTTATGAAGTCAGATGCAGCACTTTGTGAAAGGATCAGTTATCTTTTAAAGTTTTCACTACAAAACATGTTACCTTACATTCATTGGGTCTTTCCTTTTGATAAAGTGTATGTTTAGGGCTGGATCAGGTTTTCTCTCTGATATTTAAGGTACATTCTTGCCAACTAGCTCTTTATAAATAAGCTGAATTTAATTGGAAACAGGAAGCAGATAGGAAAAGTACTCACAGCAATAAGAGTGGGTGGAACAACAGGCTCCTGGGATCTTGTAGGCACTGCAGCCACCTCCTGCAGAAACCAACAAGACAACTTAAAAAATTGTTCCCCAAAAAACAAAGTATGGGGTTCTGTTAGAATAAAGGGAGAAAACAGGTTAGAGTAGACAAAAAACCATATAAAGAGGACAGAGGGATGAAGGTGAAGCAGCAAAGACAGGAATAAGAGGAGGAGGATTCTTCATGAGGCAGGTGAAAGGCAGCATATCAGTTGCTGCTGCGTTAAGATAGGTAGAAGAACTCAGGTGAACATCCACACAGGATTAAGTTGAGGAACGATAGGAATGATAGCAGTGAGGACATCAGACCAACCTGAGGCTCCCATTCCTCAAATTCTTCCTCACTAAACGCATAAGCGCCTCTGCTGTCAAGTTGAGTCTTATATCGCACATCTCTGAACGGTGGTGGGAAGGGCTCAGGTATCACATGAACCTCCACCGCCGCCTGTCGAGACGGACTGGGAGATTTGACTGGCTTGATGATCTTTCTGGGGGTTGAAGGGGAGGATAGCTCTTTGTGCAGTGTAGCGATGGCAGAGCCAGCAAGGGACACCTGATCAGCCAATGAGAACAGCATTAACCATCACACACAGATAGTGAGTCCAAATTCTGCTGGGGATTAGTGAGCAAGAGACACTGAAGCTAAACAGGAAATCTAAACCAGCTAAAAACGGACTAAAACTGAAACAGGTTGAGAAACAGCAACTGTTTCTTTGCTGTGACTGATTTAATCCGTGAGGTGGGATTATCTGATGATAGCTGATTTAGATGGTTTTTCCACGAGGTGACTGCTTCATCTATTCTACAGACTACTACTCTGAACCAAAACACAAAGTCATATCTAAGAAAAAAAAACAGTGTTACTATTGCTGTTATATAATAACCACAAGCTATAGCTAGTGGATGTTATGATGGGGTAGTCCTCAAAAGAAACAAATGCTGTGGTAGGATGGATGATACTGTGAGGACGGGATCAACGGGGATTAGACTGAAGGAAAACTGTATGTTAAGATGTTCACATTCAAATGAAGGTTTTGGGACGACGATGGCCTCAAGCTGTTCTTCTTACCTCATGTCTAGGTTCATGTTTAGGAACAGAAACTTTAGAAACTGTGAAATGTGGAACTGGGGGCTGGACGACACCAGTGTCCACACAGGAGAAGATTTCTGTTGTTCTCTGAATCTGGAGTAATCAACAGAGTGTGTTAGGATAGTTGATGCTCCATATCATTAAAATGAGACGTAAGTAACTGAATTCAGGGAACTCGTCCAACCTGAGAGACCTGGACTCTGTGCTGCTCTGCAGACACAGCAGGCTCAGTAGGAAGTGTTTTTGTTGCAATAACTTGTTTCTCTGCAGTTGCTGCCGCCTGTTGCTTTATCCTCAACTCCACATCCTCCTCTTCCTCTTTCCGAACACCCTCCCCATGCACAGGCTTGAGGACACGAGCAAGGTCAACAGCGGCCACCACTGTAGCCACTGCCTCAGCCTTTTTTTCTCCCTCATCCTGAAGACACAACAAGCAGCACACACATCTCAGAGAAGACAATGCTCCACCAAAAGCCTTAAGGACTGAAAAAAACACGACAAATAAAGCATCCATAAAGTCACGCAACACAGAAGTGAAATATCACGCAGTCTTCTATCCAAGATTCACAACTTGAGGTTCAGTATCTTGTCCAAGGATACTTGGCATGCAGATCGGAGCAGCCATGGATCAACTCATCCTTCCAGTTATTAGATGAGCTGCTCTACCATCCTGATCTGCAGTCACCTGATGAATTAAATGCATAAGGTGGCTGTGGGAAGACACAAACCCAGGGCACTGTCGCAGGAACTCGAGCCCTCAGTATGTGGGTCATTTTCTCAACAATGTGACCAAACACTCTCTCTTTATCCTGAGCCAAAAACTTCTTATCTAAATGATGCAGTGCTGGCTATTTTAATAATTGTGATTTGTACAGCACTTTGTGATTTTTTTGCCTGTAAAAAGTGCTCTATAAATAAACTTTTCTTATTTACTAGAATGTCAATAAACCTGCTGTGTATGGTTAAAATGGGACCTTCCTTTTTTCTCTTATCATTGCTGACTAGTGCAGCGCACTAGTGCAGTATATATGTGTGTGAATGTGTGGATGACTGAATGTGGTGTAAAGCACTTTGGGGTCCTTAGGGACTAAGTAAAGCACAAATACAGGCCATTTACCATTTATGCCTACAAACTCAATTCTAAAAGATCTCACAGAAACGTCTTGTTTGCAAACTGATTTAGAATTTTTCAGCCACACCTTCTTAAAAAGAGCTTTGTTTTTTCTTTGGATTGAACATACATTTTTCAAAACTGACCCTTTTGCTGCCCAGAGCTTGATTGTTACTGATATTATCTCTATGATGAGTTCAATTCGATAAATATGATTTTAAGGTTATGAGTGAATTCAAAACAGTAACAATGTCCTGAAGGAAGACTGGGTCAAAATGACAAAGAGTCACACTCTGGCAAACAGGATAATCACATTAGAAGCCACAGCTAATAACCAAGAAAGGACAACGTTGCATTAAAAGAAAAGAAAAGAAGAAGACAGAAAGAACAGAAAATAAATGCATGTTCACTTTACATCCAATACATCGGCACAGCTGGGCCAACATGTTCACAACATAAAAGTTAGTGATGTCAGTTTAAAAAGCAAAATTAAAAACAGAGTATTTGTCCGTGTTCATTCTGCAGTCACAAACAAAACGCATGTCAGGTTGGATGTACTGATTGAGTTGAGTTAACCAGCATGCAGGCTGTACCACTCTCACCTCTCTGGTGGCAGCCACCTGCTGCTCCCAGTGCTTCTCCATGTGAAGCTGAGTGGTGCTGCTGACAGCGGTCATGCTTGCCATGCTGGTATAGCTCGCCTCAGTCGCGTAGTCTCCCTGTTTCCAGGGCGGCAGAACCTCTGCAGAGGTAGATACCTGCAAGTAGTCGATTGAGGTTACGCTTTATCTAACACATGTTCAAAAAATGAAGGTCTGCAGATTTTAACAGCAGTTGTTGTGTGTGTGCTTCGAGAGACAGATCAAAGCCACTTTATGAACCAGTTTTCAAACTTTATTCATTGTGTTTTATTTTTCCTCTGTATCCTGATGTTACATGTGATCTCCTGCAGATTTTCATGTTGCCTCTAAAAATTGTTATTACTATTGCCAAATGCTGTAATTTCAGTTACATCATATATACATATATACTTTCTAACAGTAACTTACACCCTGCATCTCTGCAGGAAGACAAGAACAACAATACCAGAGAAAACAGGACTGTTCCATCAGTGATCAATAATATTTGTACAAAAACTAGCTGGTATTCAAAATCAGAGTCACTAATTGTGTTGCTACCCCACACCTGAAGATGGCACTAATACAGTTAAATACATGGAATATGCAGCGTTTCATGTTTTTTTTGGTATTTGCTGATGAGCAAACTGAAAAGCCAAACAAACCGAGGCATGTACACTAAGTCACTGCTACAGCATCTTGACAGTGAAAGTGGACTCCAGATAGATGCTCTGACCTGTTTCCTGGTCATGATGGGAGACTTGACTGGTCGGATGGGAGAAACAGACAGTTTGGTGGATGGAGACACTGGTCTGTAGACGACAACACGTAGATCAGTCAGTTCATGTAGTCAATTTAGATGACCACCTGCCTTCACTGAGATCACATTTGCATACCTGACAGGTGTCGGTGTTGGCCCTTTCACATGTCTGACAGGCGAAGGGGACTGCTGACGTCCTGCCGTCACCTTGGAAACATAGGACGGCGGGGACTTGGAGGTCGGCTTTGGAGGAACCCGTGGGGGGGTTTTGTGAGCCAAATGCTGAGTGATCATTCCTTCTCCTACATGGATCTCCCTCTTAGTGGAGGCCTGGAAACTAGTCTCCACCTTCAAAAGGGGAACATTTTATATTTACTAAGAAATGAGATATGAACATGACCTTTAAACATTAATTCCACACTCTGTTTCTTTTTCATGCATTTTTTTTAGCAGTACTGTCACCATAACATGACAGTCAGGCAGAAGTACCTGAATAATACTGGGAAAAGAAATATTTACTATTTAAGAACTATGCTTTCTACTTTAATCAACTTAAACTCAGATAATTGTTCCCTAGAACACTTGGTTATCTCACCCTCTGTACTCTGCTCTGGGAAGCCGATATTTGGGATGTGGAAACAGTCTTCAGTTTCTTAGCTGGCACAGCTTCCTCACCTGCAACAACAATAAAAATGAAAGTTTAGGTTGATTAATTATGGTAAATTATCATTTAACACATATTAAAAACTGGAGTATTCAATTATTATGAGGATTATGCGTGTCCACATAAAATATTTTGACCAAACTTGACATATTTGAAGAATTAATTAAACTGTGGTGCTTACCCTGAACTAGCAATTCGGCAGTGGAGGTGGCCCGTCCGCTGTTGTTGGTGGCAGTCACAGAATATGTCCCAGAGTCCTCTGGGAAGGCTTCAGCGATCAACAAAGTATACAGGTCTCCATCTTGGAGGATCCTGAAGTCGGCCGAGCTCTGAATCTCGGCCCCTTCTCTGTAGAACTTCACAGCTGGTGTTGGGATTCCTGTCACTCGCACATCCAGCCTCACCTGGCTGCCTTGTCTCACTGTTAAACTCTGAAGTCTTTGAAGGAAATTTGGAGGCGCCGTCTCCACTGCAGAGATAGAAGATTAGCTTGATTTTAATGCTGACCTGCCCTTACCAAGCAGTAACCTAACTAAAAGCACCAAAGACTAATAAACAAAAATGAAGAGTTCTAATCTGGTAACTGCAGTTTACATCCATTTCTGTGCAGATAACAAATCTGCTATAACGACGTGATGCTGTCGTGTCAGTGTGGACCAAAAACACCTGCTATCTCATGAAAAACTGAAAAATGGAAAGAAATTGAACCAGCCTGGTACCAGAAGTGTCTCTGTGTACATAATAAAATGAGTCCTGATGTCTTTTATATTATCGTTAATAAATTAAAATCAACGATTCAGACCTCAGTGGGTTTAAGTTTGTTAATAACTTTATGCAATGATGTGCTGCAACAGCTGCATCTATGCTGAGTTTATCACTGGATTAAGTTACACGACCCCCCCCCTGTTAAAGACCAGCAGGATACATTTAGACTGGCACTAACCCACAGAGAGTTTGAGGATCTCATCTAAGATTCACTTTACTGTAGCGTATAGCAACATTAATGATTTGTTTTTGGATGTATTTGTGCCTCTGTTGCTTTTGATGGTATTCCTTTATAATACTGCCATGCTGATACAGCAACGAGCAAGCAGGCAAACTGCAAACTGATAATGGAGATGATGGAGATTTGTACTAGAAAGGTAACGTATAAGAAATGAATGACTTAAATCACGTTGTTCTTGGGCTTTTGCATTTCCACGGTTTTAGAAAACTTGGCCTGTCGGACCTTGAGGTTGAGGTCTGAGAGCAAACCATTCTTTCACGAATGTTTGTAGAAGCAGCCTGAATGCTATAGGAGCCAGTGACTATGTAAGTGATTGGAACGCCTGAATTCAGTGATTTGAATGGGAAAATACTTCAGTGTATTTTTCCTGTGTTTTCCCAGGTCACCGGTGTCCCAGCCTCCCTGCTCTCACCTGTAACGAGGAGTTCAGCGGTGCTTGTGGCTTGTCCAGCTCCGTTCGTGGCTCTAACAGAAAACCTTCCGCTGTGTGCAGCCATCACAGCAGGAATCCTCAGAACAGCGCGGCCATCGCTGAACAAGATCTGTATACCTGGCAGAGTGGTGGTGGAAAGAACCTGGCCATCGCGGAACCAGCTCACCTCGGGAACTGGAGAACCTGTGGACGACAGAACAGTCACAAATGGTCGGGTTCAACATGTGAGTCGGTTCAGTCTGGAAGCTGTCTTACCACTAATTTGAGCCTCAAACGTCGCGGCACTACCCTCAAGTGCCACGACGCTCTGTAGCGGCTGTGTGAATGTCGGTGCTTGTGTTGACATGTTGGCTGGCACCCTACACACAAATAAGACAAAGACACAGTCAGTGGACACGTCAAACAACATCAACAAATTAGTGCAGCATAAAATGAAACGTCCTTTCAAAGAATTGTTGGCATTACCCGGCAGCACATATCAGTATCACTCCACATCATGCTCGGAAGTGGACATCAGGAGTCAGTCCAGAGAGATAATAAGGTCTACTCTATAAGACTGCTCCAGTTCTAACTATTGTTGTGAGACCTTTGTTTTTAGCTTTTTACAGTTTGGGAGAAAATTAAGGAGTCGTCTTTAACCCTGTAAGACCCAACCCATCAAAAAATAGCCAGCCATGTTTATTAACCCTCATAAACAAATTTTATGATTTTTTGCCAAATCATGTTGTGTATGATATATTTTGTTCTATATTTATTATATATTTTTATCACATGTCATATATTGGGTGTTTTTGGCAACTTTTTGGTAACAACAATGTTAGACAAAAAAAGAGTTTTGTCCGTAACATTTTGAAATTATGGCAAGTATTGATCATGCTGATGAGATCGAGGTCTCAGAAACTCATTATAGGGTTAAGACTTGAGATTTTCTTAGTTTAACTCACGAGTCCAGATGATTTTTAGAAATAGGCTCTAAATATTTTTGTTTATAGACATAATTCATGGTTTTTACCTTTTTATTGAATTGTCCACAGAGACAGGGCTGTAAAGCACAAATCTAAAGCTAACTTTACCTTTACATTGGAAACAGCAACAAAGGGAGATGACTTTGGGTTTTTTCATGCTGTCAGTCAAACCAGCACGACTTCAGACAAGCTGTCTCTTCCAAAGTTAGTAAGATGGCTTTTACTTCAGTTTGGACATCTCAAAGGGAATCACCACTGCAGCAGAGTTTTACCCAATAATGCAGTGACAGGAGTAATACTGTAACCTTCACATATGAGTCCTATGAGTTTAAGGTGCATTGTGGGTAATATAGGTGATACGAAGAAAGACACATTTGGATGTGCAGAACAACGTTACAAGCATTACGTTCGTCTATAACAGTGGTTCTCAACCCGGGGTCGATCGAACCCTAGGGGTTCGGTGAGTCGATCCCAGGGGTTCGGCAGAGCCTCCACCGTGACATGCACGGCTCATTTTGTGCACCAATAAAAAACATATCTATGTCTTGAATTTGAAAAAAATCACATTTTATTTTTCACAAAAGAGGGGTTCAGTGAATGCGCACATGAAACTGGTGGGGTTCGTTACCTCCAACAAGGTTAAAAACCACTGGTCTATAATCTGAGTGAAAAATATATTTCAGGATGAACCTTTGCATATTCTGTACCAAATACATGTCTTTATATTTCTTATCTGCAAAAATGAAGACATCTTCCTGTGTTTAGGTAACGACCACAGATGAATTAGATCATCTCCACTCAGAATGTCATACAGAGTTTGCCCATCAGACAGTACACAGATACACAGCATCAGTTTTTAAATATTCAGATGTGACCACAACAAATATCTTTCAGCACTCTATGAAACTACACTATCTTTGTCTTCATTAAACTGCATCAAATATCCCACTGCTGCTCACTCCAGTAAATAAAACATATGTAAAAACACAAACAGCTGCATCTGAGGCTCTGTAGATGTTGTGTCCACAGCTTCTCTTTGATGGTTAGTGTGCTGACAGGAACTCTGCTGAGTTTATTTTAGGAGCGACATCCCCAGATGTAGTCCAGGCTCCTGAGAGTCTGGCTGATAAACCACTAGCTGATCAGGCAGATCAGAACACCAGCTTAAAACTGGGAAATTGTAAAATTTTACATGTTTACTTTACATATTCTTAAAGGAAAGCCACAGCAGTCGCCTCAAGGTGTTATATAGTGTGAGGCAAAGACCCTTTAATAGCAGTAAAGGCTGTATTTTACAAATGTGACTCTAGCCATTGCTATCAGCCACTTGCATTAACAGGAAGTTTGAAATGAGAAGTTTCTTAGTGCCACTTTCAGATTAATAAAGGCATCTTCCAGCCCACAGTCACAGGCATTATGTCTGAGTTCATGTTTGTAAGGGTGGCTAGCTCACTTAGCATTGCTTCGTCTTGGATTCTCATTCACGAGTGGTGGGAGAGTGGAAGCAAAACAGCTGCTGGTAGTCACCAAACGAATACTGTTGCTGATGCCTGCATTGGAAATGAACTTCTAAACTTCCCGGGCTCAAAAGGAGCCAAATTAGGCAGCTGTTACGTATGACTGCATCCTGCACGTTTCTCAGGTTTATGTCCAACCAGTGGGAAACCCAGCTGGGGGCACCAAGGGGGGCTGGTGCCAATCCCTGGACGGATCACTGCCAACAAAGAGACAAGCAGCAGTTCACACTCTTCCATGATCTTATACTTATTTCCTGAACACGTTTGCTCCAGTCTGAGAATCTTGAGCTGCTTCTGCTCAGCTGTGCTGAGAATCATTAAAGTGATGGTTGGGACCTTCAGTCAACCAATCAATTACCTATTTTAAGTGATATCGACTTTAATAGCAGGAAATTAACTAGGCAACCCCCCTCCCCCACACACATATTTTTCAAGTAACCTATATTTGACAACAGCATAATAAAACTGAAAATTCTGTTTTTGCTGAGCCACCCCCCATGTGGCCACCCCTACGGAAAAACTCTGCAGGTGCCCCTGAACCAGGCTAGTCCCGGATCACGGCAGAAAGTTTAGGAAAAGCACTGAAACTACAGAAACTACAGAGAAAGTGTTTTTCACAGCACCACTCATCAGTCAAATATTACTCTGCTGCTTTAGGAGTGCCTCAGTATCCTTCTGAAGAAGCTAGTAGAAAGAAAAAGTCACACTTACACGAACAACATGGTAAGAATTACATTTGTTTGTCTAACCTGGCTGAATACATTTCCTATTTGAGCTTAATTTTCTTCACATTAATTATAATTAATTCTGTTTCAGGCAACATCAGAAGATGAACGTCAACGATGTGCTTTATATTATTTAGAAACTGTTCACACTATTTAATGAACTGTCAATAAATCAGTAGACTGGAGTCAGCGAGGGCAGTGAAACTTGACCTAGTTTGATTGATCAGCGACATTCCCGTCACACAGGAATTTGTCCCACTGCCTGAAGGGAAAACTTATGGATTTTGTTTGTCTTTATCAGTGTTTCATTCGTTATCAGCAGCATTCACTGGCACTGCTAAGCTCTGCCGGGCGTCTTACTGGCCCTATTTGGTGAAACTGGCTCTGACTGGTCTTGACTGGCACTGGAGTCCTCCTGGATCTGGTCCAGGCCACCTGAGAGTTTTGTCAACTTTACAATGCACAAAGACTGACAGCTGTTGCTGTTGGAGGCATGAAATAACTCCCACTCTGGTTATTAAGGTAATTCAGCTTCAACTTAGCAACTTCAACAGTTGCTGAACTGCAGAGCTGCTTCAGTGACAGACTGCTGCATCCTCGATGCATGAAGGAGCGTTTCTGCAGGTCCTTCCTCCCTGCAGCTGTCAGACTGCACGATCAGAACTGCTCCCAACAAACACAGATGTTTACGTCAGCGCTGTAACTGCACTATCTTATCAACCGGTTCACATTATAACCTGGTTTGCCTCTTATCTGTATTTAATTTTATTTAATTTAATAACGGTACAGCAATCTGTTTTTGGTAACCACTGTCCTCGATGTAAATATGTAAGAAAAACTGTGTATGTTTCTGTCCTGTGTCCTGTGTACTGTTTGTTGTATATGTGTCTTTCTGGCTGCTGTTTCACCCAAATTTCCCCTTGTGGGAAAATTAAAGGATTATTCTATTCTATTCTATTCCATTCTATTCTAACTAGTCGAAAATCTCAAGAAAACAAAAAATGGTGAGCTTCAAATCAGAAAATAAAGAATCATTTCAACATAAAGACATCAATAATTTTATTTGAGATGTTATGATGTGTGGAATTATCTTATTGCCGTAACCATGGAGCTAAAATTCTTAATCTCACTTTGTAAGGAGAATGGGCCATTAATAGAATTAATTTTTAAATGTTTATCTATTTATTTTTTATTTAATTTCATTTCCAATTGTAAAGTTTCATTTGTTTCCTTCACGCTAAAGATGAACATTCGAATATCTGACAGTTCATTCTAATTAATCTGATCTTTTGAATACCATAAAATTTACTCTCCATCCAGAGAATCACAATGTTAATATTTATTATTTTAATAACCACATTAATAATATTATATATAAAATCATATATGTCATCATCATAAAACAGTATATATATTTTATTATTTTAATTTTTTTATTTAAAATTAGTAAATAATTAACAATTTATATTAATCATTGTGTAATAAATAACAAAAAGGACTATCATAAGCCCCTAAAAACATTATGTGAATAAAAACATAAAGACATATATTTTTTACTTTTAAATGATTAACATGAGTTTTTCAACATTTTTAAACCTCTTAAGAAACATGTTCTCATCTTTATATCATGTGGAGTAATAATATCATAACAGTTATGATGTGGGACCTACTGAACAATAACAGCATGATATAGCTAAACAGATGAAATGAAACACTGAACATGCACATGATGCACATGATGTCACAGTTCAGAAACTGAGCCCGAGGCAAAGCAAGGGGAGCGTTTATAACACATTAGTTACACTCTCACCCCTCCAGAGTTCAGACTGTTTGGACTGAAACGTTCGTTTGCTGCTCAATTATAATAAGCATAAAAGCAATAATAATGTAAACAATGAATTATTATTATTTTGCAATCATTTCAGCTTTAGAAGCAGAAATAAGATGACTTGCTAATAATTCTTAGGATTATTACGTTTTCTGTGAAACCTGAGTCCTGCTTTCTATTTAACTTTATTCATTTGTATTCATATTATATGCTTTTTATAAACAGTTAAAATAAATTACTTTCCAAAGTAAATATATTTAATGCAACAACAAAACACTTAACTCAGATTTTATGTACTTTTTAAGATTGCAAATCAATGTTCTTGGGCTGTTTCGTTATAGGACACGTCTGGAAACATCTTAAAAGCAATGACAGCGTAAATGAGCCAAATGCAAGAACCTCCACTTGAAAAATAAAACACAAGCTCAAAACATTATATTAACTAAATGATATTAAATTTATTGTAAATACATTTAATAAAACTAAAATACAAACTCGGCTCAGCTGTTGACTATTCTCAAATCTAAAATAAAAGCTTCCTTGAAGTGTTGCTGCAGTCAGTCACCACCACCCCGTGCCCGGGGGTTGGGCGCTAAAGCCAACGACTAAAAATATCACCACCTCCAACCCAACACATCTCAGTTTGATTGACAGGCACCATGTGGCACATATCTGGAGGGGCAACTGATAGCCCTGCTGCTGATTCCCTTAAAAAGCCATCAGCCACTCAGCTGGGATCCAATCTGATGTTCTCAGCGGCTATTCTGGGATGCCCTGCTCTAACCTTCAGCTAAAAAAATATAAAAAGATCACTTTGTCTGGTTCTCCGTTGGAGCTCATTATTCACAACAGTTTAAAAAACTTTAAAGACACTTACTTGTCTGGACAAGGATGCCTGGGAAGCCCAGATTTGGGCGCTCAGCAGGAAATCTAAAATCTTTATCCAGAAAACGGAGTCAGAAAATCCAAAAGGGGAACAGTTGAGCCTCAAAGGAACCCCAAAGAAAAAAACAAAACTACAGGCCTACGCCGCCGTGTAGTTTTGTAGTTTTCCTCGTAACAGCAGTCCCTCCAGCCGAGGCGTCCAGGCTGGGAACGCTGACTCTGCTCAGGGCAGCTGGTCGGCCGAGTGAGGCCTTTATACTGCTGTGACATCACACAGGGCACCACATGACATTGGTCAGCTCTGTACAGCAATGCAGGGGATTGTGGGAGGAAAGGCAGACATTTTGTGCAACTCGTCACACCTGTCAGCTGCTTTACTCAAGGCAGCCTCTTCCTCACTGTATGTGCTTCAAAGAATCAGGAGATTTGTTTGAAAGTTGAGGTGTTACCAAAGTCATCGATAAACTCAATCTGATCATCTGATCAATGCCAACCTTCCACGTTTCTCTGCAGATAGGGTGGGGGCTCATCTGATGGTGACTCAGTAGTATAATACAACGTTTGCTCTTTTATCTCTCGCTAACAAACACCTGGATGTTGATTTTTCTTATCACTATGTGAATGCATTAATGTACTCCACAATCAGTTGAAGAGGCTTTTCAAATGTATTGTATTGATTTTATCTTTGATGTTAAGAATCTCCACCTGCCTAATAGAGTTATTAACCTGGTGTTAAAACTGAGTCTAAAACCTGCTAACGACTAGGATCACAGAGTGAATTTCTTCTTTTTTGTTTCTCATAAGTGAAAGTGAAAATGGTCCGAGTGCGAAGATGCAGATTAGGCTGAAGGGACAGACGACTTTACAAACTAAGAAAAAACTGACTTAAGTAAGTTAGTTGTACAAGTAAACTTGCCAGGTTACTATTGGCAATATTGGCGATTGTTGAGACTTGTGTATTGATTGTTAGCTGTCTGAAAATAATATTTAGTACATGTAGATCAGCGGTCCCCAACCTTTTTTGCACCACGGACCGGTTTATGCCCGACGATATTTTTTGCACGACGGATAAATACAACAAAATAAAACTAGTACCGGTACCGAAAAAAGTAGATTTATTCATAACACACGTGAAAAGACCCAGGAAAACCGAGTTAACGATAAAAACGATAACAAAATAACACTAAAAACCGATAAAAACCCTGAAAACCATACATTTCACACCCGAGCCTCAACTCTCGCGGCCCGGTACCAAACGACTCACTGACCGGTACCGGTCTGTGGCCCGGGGGTTGGGGACCGCTGATGTAGATGATTCCTCCTCTAAAAAAACCTCAAACAAAAAAATAAGTCATTTGTAAAAAATAGCAAACATGCAAACCACAAAGTCAGTCCTATCCACTCTTAGGTCTAGAGTAAATAACTGATTTATTGTCATTTTTAATGTGGATCCAGAGCCTCCTTTGTTGAATCTGGTAGAGCTTCGGACTACGTCCAACATTTTACTGAAAGTTCTGCAAGTAAGAAACAAGAGGTAGAATCAAAATACTGTTGACAAGTTGTAACACTGTTTTGTATCTTTTATTTAGTACTGTGCAATTTTCATCCAGTATCAAACACACTCTTGACATTCTATCACTACACGGCAAGTTCTTGTTACATTTCTCTATAGCTCACCACTTTATATACAGGGAGTGCAGAATTATTAGGCAAATGAGTATTTTGTCCACATCATCCTCTTCATGCATGTTGTCTTACTCCAAGCTGTATAGGCTCGAAAGCCTACTACCAATTAAGCATATTAGGTGATGATACAAAATGGCGCCGGTGAGGTCGGCTGCCGTGCTGGATGCTCTGCCCTAACTTCTCCACTTTTTGCAGTTTTTCGTCACTTTTTGCTATATCTGCGATAATCTTGCATGGGCATCATGCAAAACACACAAATCCGCTACAGTAGAGACACTCTGGTTTCTGTTGGTCTGCAGTACACGAACATTTCACCATGTTTAACTCCGGACCCAACCTGGCCAAAGGAGATCCTGAGAGAGAACAAAGGACGCGACCCTAAGCGACGGCCTCGAGGTAAAAGAGCCGGCATCAGGAACAGGCTACGGGCTCGCGCACACCGCGCACCCATGCCCAGTATCCTGCTAGCCAATATTCAATCCATCGAGAACAAGCTTGATGACCTCAAAGCCAGAATCAAGTTCCTGAGAGACATTCGGGACTGCAACCTCCTCTGCTTTACCGAGACTTGGCTGAACCCAGCGATACCAGACCACGCCGTACAGCCGACGGGGTTCTTTTCGGTTTACCGCATGGACAGGACAATGGAGTCGGGGAAGAAAAGAGGTGGTGGAGTGTGTTTGATGGTGAACAACAGATGGTGCGACAGCACAAACATCTCCCCACTCACACGCTCTTGCTCGCCCAATCTGGAGCTTTTGATCGTTAAGTGTCGCCCTTTCTATCTCCCTCGGGAATTCACTGCGGTCATTGCCTGCGCTGTTTACATTCCGCCTCACGCGGACTCGGACACTGCCTTATGTGAGCTACATGAGGCTCTCACACATCAACAAACACTTCACCGAGATGCCGCACTCATTGTTATGGGAGATTTTAACAGAGTGAATCTCAAACGGACATTTCACAACCTTCACCAGCACATCAACTGCCCCACCCGGGGCACGAGGACATTAGACCACTGCTACACCCCGTTCAAGAACTGTTACAAGGCTCAACCCCTGCCGGCATTTGGAAATAGGACCATTCCGCCATCTTCCTCATGCCTGCTTACAAACAAAGGCTAAAGCAGCAACCACCAATCAGGAGGGAGGTCGCTCGCTGGACGGACCAATCGGTGGCCGCGCTGCAGGACGCACTGGATGACGCAGACTGGGACATGTTTCGGCACAGCTCTGATGACATCAACATGTTTACGGAAGCGGTTGTGGGATTTATCGGGAAACTAGCGGACGACACAGCAGAAAGAACTATCATCCGAACGTTTCCCAACCAGAAGCCGTGGGTGGATAAAAACATCCGCGACGCTCTGAGATCACGCACCGCTGCCTACAATGAAGGGCTTGTCTCCGGTAATATGGACCTATACAAGGCTGCGTCCTACAACGTGCGCAGCGCGGTCCGAAAGGCAAAGCGGAGCTATGGGGAAAAACTAGAGTCACAGCTACGACAGTGCGACTCTAGGAGCCTGTGGAAAGGACTGCGGACTATAAACGACCAGCTTCTTCAATGATGAATGCCGATGCTTCACTGGCTGATGAGCTGAACACGTTTTATGCTCGCTTCGACGCCGCAGCAATTAAAACAACAAACGGCTGCGCGCGCTCAGAGTGCACCAGTGAAGAAAATGCATTCATCATCACAGAGCATGCCGTGAGGAACACCTTCAGGAGGGTGAACACCAGGAAGGCAGCAGGACCAGATGCAATCCCTGGCCGGGTCCTTAGAGCCTGCGCTGATCAACTAGCACCGGTGTTCACGGAGATCTTCAACCTCTCCCTGGCCCAAGCTGTGGTTCCCACGTGCTTCAAACGGTCCATTATTTTCCTTGTTCCAAAGAAACAACAGCCCGCTTGCCACAATGACTACCGTCCAGTAGCACTGACTTCAATTGTGATGAAGTGTTTTGAAAGACTGATGAGAGATCACATCACTTCTTCACTTCCTGCCACCATCGACTCACTTCAGTTTGCTTACCGGACTAATCGTTCCACAGACGATGCCATATCTCACCTGCTCCACACATCCCTGAGTCACCTGGACACTGGCAGAGGGAATTATGTTAGGATGCTGTTCGTGGACTACAGTTCAGCATTCAACACAATAATTCCCTCTAAGCTTTTCACCAAGTTGACGGATCTTGGACTCAGCTCATCACTGTGTCAGTGGATCCTCAACTTCCTCACAGACAGACCCCAATCAGTGAGGGTGGGAAAACAAGTCTCCCCCTCCATCTCACTCAGCACTGGAGTGCCTCAGGGCTGTGTTTTAAGCCCCCTGCTGTACTCACTGTACACTTATGACTGTGTAGCCACATCCGACACCACCTCCATCGTCAAGTTTGCTGACGACACTGCTGTTGTGGGCCTGATCTCCGACAACATCGACACGGCCTACCTGGAGGAGATTAGGAACCTGGAGACCTGGTGCCAGGAGAATAACCTCCTCCTAAACGTCAGCAAGACTAAGGAGCTGATCGTGGACTTCACTACAAAGCAGGCGAGGAATTACAAACCCCTCATCATCAGTGGCACGCCAGTGGAGAGAGTGGACAGTTTCCGATACCTGGGTGTCCACATCACTCAGGACCTGTCATGGTCCTGCCACATCAACAACCTGGTTAAGAAAGCCCGTCAGCGTCTCTTCTTCCTCAGAAGACTTAGAGACTTCCATCTGCCACTGAAGGTGCTCAAGAACTTCTACTCCTGCACCATCGAGAGCGTCCTGACGGCAAACATCTGCACCTGGTTTGGGAACAGCACCAAGCAGGACAGACGAGATCTGCAAAGGGTGGTGCGCTCGGCAGAACGCATCATTCAATCAGAGCTCCCTGACCTGCTGTCCATCTACACCAAGCGGTGCAAGTCCAAAGCTAGGAAGATTATGATGGACCTCTCCCATCCCAACAATGGACTCTTCTCACTGTTGAGGTCTGGGAAGCGCTTCCGCTCCCTTAAGGCCAAAACAGAGAGAATGAGGAGGAGCTTCTTCCCCCAGGCTATTCGGGCCCTGAACCAGGTGTAGGACTGGACTCTCCCAAACACGTCACTATAAGACTGGACTCTCACACACGTCACCACACGCACCACCACACATTTCCTATAATCCTATAATTCCTATAATTTATAATCCTTATCTTTATAATCTCTTCTGCTATTTGCACATTCTTTACTGTAAATTCCTAAGTTAATTTGTAAATTTTTGTAGTAAATTGTAAATATTGTAAAACTTTTCTTCTGTCATTTAATGGTCGGGCATTGTACAGCTACAAGCATTTCACCCCCATGTCATACTGTGTATGGTTGTGTGTGTGTGACAAATAAAATTTGAATTTGAATTTGAATTTGATGTGCATCTCTGTAATGAGAAGGGGTGTGGTCTAATGACATCAACACCCTATATCAGGTGTGCATAATTATTAGGCAACGTCCTTTCCTTTGGCAAAATGGGTCAAAAGAAGGACTTGACAGGCTCAGAAAAGTCAAAAATAGTGAGATATCTTGCAGAGGGATGCAGCAGTCTCAAAATTGCAAAGCTTCTGAAGCGTGATCATCGAACAATCAAGCGTTTCATTCAAAATAGTCAACAGGGTCGCAAGAAGCGTGTGGAAAAACCAAGGCGCAAAATAACTGCCCATGAACTGAGAAAAGTCAAGCGTGCAGCTGCCAAGATGCCACTTGCCACCAGTTTGGCCATATTTCAGAGCTGCAACATCACTGGAGTGCCCAAAAGCACAAGGTGTGCAATACTCAGAGACATGGCCAAGGTAAGAAAGGCTGAAAGACGACCACCACTGAACAAGACACACAAGCTGAAACGTCAAGACTGGGCCAAGAAATATCTCAAGACTGGTTTTTCTAAGGTTTTATGGACTGATGAAATGAGAGTGAGTCTTGATGGGCCAGATGGATGGGCCCGTGGCTGGATTGGTAAAGGGCAGAGAGCTCCAGTCCGACTCAGACGCCAGAAAGGTGGAGGTGGAGTACTGGTTTGGGCTGGTATCATCAAAGATGAGCTTGTGGGGCCTTTTCGGGTTGAGGATGGAGTCAAGCTCAACTCCCAGTCCTACTGCCAGTTTCTGGAAGACACCTTCTTCAAGCAGTGGTATAGAAGGAAGTCTGCATCCTTCAAGAAAAACATGATTTTCATGCAGGACAATGCTCCATCACACGCGTCCAAGTACTCCACAGCGTGGCTGGCAAGAAAGGGTATAAAAGAAGAAAAACTAATGACATGGCCTCCTTGTTCACCTGATCTGAACCCCATTGAGAACCTGTGGTCCATCATCAAATGTGAGATTTACAAGGAGGGAAAACAGTACACCTCTCTGAACAGTGTCTGGGAGGCTGTGGTTGCTGCTGCACGCAATGTTGATGGTGAACAGATCAAAACACTGACAGAATCCATGGATGGCAGGCTTTTGAGTGTCCTTGCAAAGAAAGGTGGCTATATTGGTCGCTGATTTGTTTTTGTTTTTGAATGTCAGAAATGTATATTTGTGAATGTGGAGATGTTATATTGGTGTCACTGGTAAAAATAAATAATTGAAATGGGTATATATTTGTTTTTTGTTAAGTTGCCTAATAATTATGCACAGTAATAGTCACCTGCACACACAGATATCCCCCTAAAATAGCTAAAACTAAAAACTACTTCCACAAACATTCAGCTTTGATATTAATGAGTTTTTTGGGTTCATTGAGAACATGGTTGTTGTTCAATAATAAAATTATTCCTCAAAAATACAACTTGCCTAATAATTCTGCACTCCCTGTATACTTAGGTACCAACTCAGCATTGTTTAAACATTTCTGTGTTTTTCTTGCATCATGATGAAATCATACTGAATTACCTGCTGCAGGTTTTCTGCAAGTCATTCACCAAAGGGTCACGAGGTCACAAGTGCAGTCTGTGAGCATATTTTCCTTTGGTTCTTTCAATTTCATTGTAGGTCTTTTTTTGCTTGTCCAACATTTTTACTAACACTTCCCTAATTTTTCTTGCCCGAGTCCTGCACCTTTCTATCAGTCTTTATTTATTTTTTATTTTTCTAGTAAAAGATCAAACATTTTAATGGCTACAAGAAGGAAGAAATAAAAATGTGTGTGGCAGGTTGTGGTTCTGTTGGTTACTGCCCAAGAAATTCCAAGTTTCAGTTTTCAGAATTTAATGATTGGACTTGTTTTCCAGCTTAATAACTTATACCTCAGCCTCCTGATCGGTTATGGGGTTTCATAGGGTTAATGTAATGTAAATCACTGGAGCTATTAGTTTTGTATGTTCTACTAAATAGTAGAGTCAGATAATTCATTTTTTAATTTCCTCATATTGTTTTTAGATCGTACAGGCCGAGAATGATCTACAGCTGCAAGATGCAGTTGCACAGGCAGCCAGCTTGATCAGTCTTGCTGGTCACAATGTTTGCATAACACTTCAAAACAAACAAGAAACTGCTCACTGGTATGTCCTTCAACGGACCCGTGCACCTTTTGAAAGGCATGTCTAAACACATACTGTCATGGTAAAAAATTAAGCCTGTCAAACTAAAGTCATTGTGTTGTGAAACAATGGTATTAGCCTGTTTGGGTGGTACAGGTCTGTAGCGCTCCATTCTAGTACAGTTCATAACAAAACAGATATCTTTCATTCATGAGATTAAAATTCACATAAAACGTTGTATCTGTGCCGATGTAGGCATGTGTTTAAATATGTAAATAAAAATAGATTCAAACTGAGTAGCATTTGGGTTGACTGCAGACTGACGGAAAAGGTATAAGATAAGATAAGATAAGATAAGATAAGATAAGATAAGATTTTATTAATCCCTCGGGTGGGTTCCTCTGGGAAATTCGGTTTCCAAAAAGCACAGCACCGACAGAAGTTACAGAGTTACAGAATATTATATATATACACACACACACACATATATAAATACAGAGACAAATATAAATAAAATATACGAAGGGGATAAATAGAATAAATAGGAATAAAAATAAAAATGCCAATGTATGCCAATGGAACAAGAGACCAGATGTATTTGAAAGCAATGTGTCACTTTTACTCCAGTTCATGACAGGTCCCTGTGTGTCATGTTTCAGCTCAGTTGCTCCATGTATAGGCATTCGTTATCTGTATCTGAGACAGTCTGGCCCTGTAAGGGGGAAAATGTTCTTCACCTCTGATACAGCAGTCCACAGGGAAGCAAAATGTAATTAGTTCAGAAATTTCTCTTAATAAAACCTCAAAACCTCTTGTTATGATACAGGTTCCAAATCCCATCAAATACAAATATAATAATAGTAATATAAAATACAATTTGATTTTGTTTTATTTTGGCTAGGTTCAGAGATGGCTTGAGGTCTGTAGCTCTCCTAGATGCTCTACAGACATACCCTCTTCAGATGAAGTGTCTTTTCGTGAAAGCTGGAATGGCTCTGAGAGCAACTGATAGGGAGAATCTATTCCAGATCATTCACTCCGATCGAGGGAGTAATGCACTACGAGTGCCGGACTCTGGCTTTCTGGCAAGACTATCTTCAGGAGGCAGAATGTGAGTTTACTATTTGGCACATTGTTTGACCATAAATCAAAATTCTCACTTTTGTGCAGCAGCATCATGAAATCACAGACATAGACGCCATAACAAAAAAGGTAGATAGATGGTACCGATGCAAGTGCTGGGTTTACAACATTGTATCCAAATGTGATTTCAGTTTGACTTCAGTGTATTAACAGGATAAATAAATAACAGGATAAATAGGAGGATAACTAAATAAATAAATTATTACCAATCCTGTGTACTGAGTACTAATAATAGGCTATTTCTGCATCCACGTACATTTAATGTTGTGGTCTTCACTAACTTCTTTTTTTGACATTGTGGTTTTACTGTATAGCCTAAATAAGCTTCATGTGTGTCTTTCAAATTACAGTTTAATTTTAAAAAAATATACATGTTTCACTTTTGATTTAATCTTTTGGTAATTTAATGTATCTGTACATCAACATCTTAGTCAGAATCTCATTATCATTTTGTATTTTTCTATCTTATAGTTGAAAGTGATGTCTCTTTGGAAGATATTCTTGTTTTCTGCACTGGATGTGACAGCATACCAGCCCTGGGTTTCTCTCCAAAGCCAAGCCTTGAGTTCGTCACTAACTGCAGATTTCCAGTGGCCAATACTTGTGAAAATATCCTTTGTATACCAGTTCATGCAGTCTACACTACTTTCAAATCAGACATGGATTTTGCAATACGGAATTCACCAGGATTTGGAAGAGCATGATGTGTTTTCTTAAGGATTGGTGACATGATGAGGATTTGGTTTTTTTTTTCTATTTTGCATATGCATTTTTTATTTTCCTTTTTTTGTTAATGTTGTTAACCCGCATCAGAGTACACCCTGGACAGCAGTAGGACTGTATAGCCTAAATAAGCTTCATGTGTGTCTTTCAAATTACAGCTTAAATACCAGTTCATGCAGTGTACACTACTTTCAAATCAGACATGGATTTGATAAGCCGAAGAGAATGGATGGAATAATTTTGTTTCAGTTTATACATGTGAGGCATTTTTTGTTTTGTGATTGTAGTTAATTAGTTTTCCTGCTTATATGGCATGTTTTGTCTCTGATATGTAGTTCTAAATAAATTCAAACGGCATTTAGGACGTTTTTTACTCACCTTATGTCTCTACCACGATGTTATTTCTCTCTCCAACAACATAGGTTACAATTACATTAGCATGACCAATTATGCAAATTAGGCGATGACGTCATTTGGCGACTTCTAGCGACTTTTAGGACAGCCAATAGCGATTTTCCTTACTGAGGAGTTGGCAACACTGGGTGGAAAGACAGTATCTCCAACACTGGCAGCAAAGTTGTCTATAAATGTGACAGACATTGGTTTGGTCAAACCTGGTTATGTTACAGGTTGAAATGTGAACATTATATCACACTATATGACATTACAATCTTATCAAATTATTATATGTTGTCAAAGTATTATAAACAATAATAATAATAATAATGATAATAAACATAACCTGGTTTGCAGGGAGTGTTTTAAGGATTTTGTTTGCATATTTTACTATACTACTTGATAACACAGGCTCATTGTAGATTGTTTGGGTTTTTTTCCCCCTCTTTCATTTGTGTTTTTTTAAGACCAGCCCTATTACTGCAGAATATTATTTCCTTCCTCTGGGTACTAGAAATACACAAATGAAGGGTTCTGTGTTCCTACTTTTTATGTAATTTGTGTCTTTAAAAAAAGAGTTTAAAGAGTTTAAAATGTGTAACATATTTTATTTAATGAATGAATCATAATTCCTGTTTATTAACAGATAAATTAGTACATCATACAATCATATGTAACATATACTGTAACATTTTGTATTGTGACAATTATGGTTTGTCATGAAAGAAAAGTGTAGTCTAAACACTTTATTTGTCTACTTTTATGATTTAAATGGCACAAGTGAATATGAAGATAAAACCAGTCTTTTTACCTTACTTTTACCTAAATAATAGTCTTGGACCCCTTTCAGTATCATGATATTTCACAATTTTTAGTGTCTGGCACTCAAATACATTTTTTAATTAACACAAACAAATTTACTAATAACTTAACTGAAGCATGCGGCATGCTGTCAAAAAACTTCTATCCCATGATTTCCATCGTCACTCAAGGGGTCGAGCTGCCTCTAGTCAGCCGTCAACTGCTGGTGATGGTAAGAAGGATGTTTGAAGTGCACTTGACTGAGACTCTGTGATGCTGAGGAAGTTGCAACATTCCAACAGTCCACAGCTGCAGCGGGGAGTGATTTTCCATTGTCCTTAAGCTGTGATGGTTCCACTCATTTACAAATTCATCCACAGATCTGTTCATTCTTGGAAGATATACATGGTGAAGAGCCCTAATATGAAATGGGTCAGTGCTATCTAAAATCCCAACATTTTCCATAAAGAGGAAAAGGTTTTTAAAGTATGCTGACACAACTCTGTTTAGTTCACCCCACAATCTTTCAATTCTTTGATTATGCACACTTCGTCCAACCATAAAGCTTCCTTTGTTTGGCCCTCGATGTTCAATCATAAACCGTGCAATATCAATATTCTCACTCATCACCCCTGACACGTTGTGGGAGGCCAAAGAGATCAGCACTCTGGAAAAGGTGCACAGCAGTTGATGCTCTGTTATCTGTGCAGCATCTCATGTAGTTAGTAGGTAATGCAGCGACTATAGCCGCATGTAAATATATAAACACCCAGCACGCCCCTGCGGGCGGTTTATCCTTCAAGCTCGGGTCCTCTACCAGAGGCCTGGGAGCTTGAGGGTCCTGCGCAGTATCTTAGCTCTTAGCATTATATATATATATATATATATATATATATATATATATATATATATATATATATATATATATATATATAATGCTAAGAGCTAAGATACTGGGCATCTCCCATTTTGACCCGAGGTCAAAATGGGAGATGCCCCCAAGGGTGGTGGAGAATGACCGAGCTAAGATCCTGTGGGACTTCCAGATACAGACGGACAAAATGGTGGTGGCTAACCAACCGGACATAGTGGTGGTAGACAAACAGAAGAAGACGGCCGTAGTGATCGATGTAGCGGTTCCGAATGACAGCAATATCAGGAAGAAGGAACACGAGAAGCTGGAGAAATACCAAGGGCTCAGAGAAGAGCTCGAGAGGATGTGGAGGGTGAAGGTAACGGTGGTCCCCGTGGTAATCGGAGCACTAGGTGCGGTGACTCCCAAGCTAGGCGAGTGGCTCCAGCAGATCCCGGGAACAACATCGGAGATCTCTGTCCAGAAGAGCGCAGTCCTGGGAACAGCTAAGATACTGCGCAGGACCCTCAAGCTCCCAGGCCTCTGGTAGAGGACCCGAGCTTGAAGGATAAACCGCCCGCAGGGGCGTGCTGGGTGTTTTTATATGTATATACATATATATATATATATATATATATGTATACATATATATATATATATATATATGTATACATATATATATACATATATATGTATACATATATATATATATATATATATATATATGTATAATATATATATATATATATATATATATATATATATGTATATATATATATATATATATATATAATGCAGGTGTTTCTAAGTCCACAATAAAAACTCAAATCTGCAGTCGGTGATGCACTTTGACATTTATTTAACAGGCAAAAGGACACAGAAAAGCTTTTAAGTGTTTTCTTAATCTTATTTTTATTTTTTAAACATGAACACGATCATAAATTGATGATCGGTACTTAATACTTATTTTTCCCACTGTATATACATAAACATATAATAATACTACTGCAGTGTATTTTTCATCATTCATCATCAGCAAGAAATACTAAAAAACAAAGAAGCCAGTGTAATCTATCAAGTTTCCCAGACGAGTCACAGCAAAGATTCAGCTAAAAAAATCATCTGATGTGTTCAATAAACTTATTATCAGATAGAAACATCCTGAATCCTGCGCTGGCTTTCCGTACCACTGTCACCAGATTCGAGTATTTATGAATCATAACTGACCACCAACGTTAAGGCTGAAGTTAATATCATGATTGAATGCATTAACATGATTGTGGATTACAGTAATCAGGGATTTCCTGGCTAAAAATGAGCTTCTGAAGGGTGAGAATGCAAATCACACACTTTTATTAAAGATAAAGATTTAGACAATATTGCAGTCAGCCAGTATTATTATGGATGACTGTGTGTTAGGAGGCAGCTGTCTGCTATTCAGTGGTCACCACCAGCCAACGTGGGGAAGTAGCAGCTGCACACTGAGCGTCTCCCACATGACCAAACTCTTACCAAACTCATGATACGTTGAGCCGGCTTTCAGAAGTTCTGTCCCTCTTTTTCTAAATCTCATTGCTTTGTTGCTACCCACAGTTTGTGGATACGGTGAGGTCGGGAACATAGAAGGGAAAACTGATGAACTCCCACTTTGAGCTGAAAGTTTCTGTCCAACTTGGACTGGGGTCTCTGACATTCTCTGGCTCAAAGCTGTGGATGGAAATTTGGAGGACATCAATGAAACCAGCAGCACATATTACATGAAAAGCAAATATGATGCTTAAATAACTGAAGCGTTCACCCCTTTGACTGTCCCACGAAATTCTATCCAAGAGATTGTGAATAAGGTTAGTGAGAAACAGCTGCCCTGGGGCTGTTTTTTAATCCAGTATATTGTTTATCACATTTTGTGTTATAACTGCTGGGCTTTGGTTATAACTGCTTTCTTGGGGTTTTAACCAGCCTGGTGTTAGTGTAACTGAATATAGTTTTGGTAAGATTATTTTTAGAGTCGGAGGCTTTAACAGCAGCCAGACATGTCAGCCTCTCACAAGAGGAACAGCAGTGTCCAATGACTAATCCGTCAGCTGAGGACAGCTGAAAGAGTAAACCCCAATGAAACAGTGTCACCCATTAGGTGAACAAATGGACGGGTTAAAAAAAGCACAGCATGTAACAGAGGAAATGAAGGCGGAGGTTGTTGCTTAAGAAGTGTATATTGCTATATTTTACTTAGTGTTATTTAAAAGAATTATTCAAACAATGTGTCTGTTGAGGAACAGATTTCTTGAAGTGTTCACCTTTTAAACATTAAATTGATGCTTTTCTGTAGGAATCATATGATTAAGCCGTGCTGACATTGTTTGAAGGGGCAGGGCTCAGAGTTAAAAAGGGGCAAACAGAACCAGGCTGAAACACAACAACCCACATTCATCAAGAATCTAATAATCAGATCACATCATACTATATCATCATCATCATGTGGGGACAGTGTGAAGCAAACGAAGCCGATGTTTTACCTGATGGGTACAATGTTGCTGCTGCTGCTGGTGGTGCTGGAGGGCAGGGCTGTGCTGATCTCAGACTGGAGACATTAAGGAGTCCACAGGAGAGATGGGAGCTGATTATGAAAATATTACCTCCCAGCTGTACGAGCTCGCTGCGTGTTTTGGAAGCTGCTGCGCTCTTCACAAATAAAGCTGGAAGCAGCTCAGACTGTTAGAACTGAGCCCTGTTACATTTATACAGTGTTAGAGCAACGGCTGCAGCCTACAGCCTTTAAACTAGCTGATTAAAATGCTGACAGTAAACTCGTCAGTCCAGATGTTACCACATTACTTTGTGGTACTTAGTTTAACAGAACTGAAACAGGCTGATTAAAATAACAGCTGTCAGTTGTCTCATTCCTTGTATTATCTCCAGTCTTAGCAGAGGGCAGTTACACATCACACATGACCCCGTGCTGCGTCATGTGTGATGCGTCATCATACGAGGACGTTACATTTCAGCTTTTCTGCATCTTGATTCTGCTCAATTAAGTGTTTTAAACTTGGACAAAATATGGCAGCTTTGTGTTGTGCTGCAAGTTAAACCCAGTGTCCTCATGAACACAGCATCGAACAACTTTCCTTTAAAAAATCGATTGAATTTAACTGGACACACTGGTTTTCAGTGGGAGAAAGATTCATCACTCAAGCGTGACACTGGAGAAGTCACCTGGATGAGTGATAAAACTCTTTTCCATGGAAACATCCAGAGGAGCTAAACTTTTGAGTATGTCCTTGCCTGTGTTTCAATCAGCAAGAGTTTTATGTATACGTCTTTTTTCCTCTTGGCTTAATTTCAGCCTCAGCAGCATCTCTCAGAAGAAAACCGCTGTAAACTTTCTGCCAATCATCAGACAAAAAAGTAAATATATCATGTTCATTCTTTCTAATCATCTGTCCTTATTGCTTCCGTATGTTTTTTGCCATGAAACGACTTCCACAAACTCTGGGCTATTTTTGCTGTTCAAATTTTGAAATATTCTGCTCCTTCCCTCTATATCTTTTGGTATTTATAAGTTCTATACTTGTTAAAGTATTAAGCTTTTTATGACTCTTTTTCTGTCGTCCTCTCAGATTTTAAACTTTTTTTTCTCGTCATATCTCTGAGATGGATTATTGTAGAACAAGAAAATTGGCATGATTGTTCACCGTCAATGAAACAGGCCTTTCAGAATGAACTGCTCATTGGTTTCCATTTCATAAATCACATTTTAAAGTTTAACTGCTTACAACATCTGTCAAGAACAAAAACAAACCCTTCGTATGTGCGTGCCATATTACATTTTATTTTTTAAGAAAACATTTTCTTAGATCCAGATATATACAAATACTCTCAAGTACAGTCAAAGTCAAATAAAATAAGAAAAATATGAAATCTAAGGTTTCTCATTGGAAGGCTTTGAGTTTTTCTACATGTGTTTCTGTGTGTTTAAGTGAGTTTGTGTCTGTAAGCCTTTAAAGGAGAATGTGGAGGCTGCAGTGAAGAGAAGGGAGCATATCAGCATCCTGGAGTTTGCCCTGTGCAACGTTTCTGTGCTGCTGAAAACAAGATGTTATGATGGTGTAGACTTTAATTAATATTAATAATAAACCACTCAGGTCAGAGGCTCAGTGTTTTACCAGTCCTGTACACTTTTATTGGCTTGTGAAAAAAGCTTTATTTTTATACTTTAAACATTGATTCTATTTAATTGAGACGGCAATTTAAATCATTTCACTTGAAAAAGGTTTGAAAACCTTGAAGTAAATACGGTCTAGTACACCTCGTGCCCCCCTTTAGACTCAGCCCTGTTCGCTTCAGCTTTTAGAAACCCTTATAATTGAAACATGGTATCAAAGTTAACAGTTCACCAGAGTATTTTAATACAACTTCACGTCGTTTGTTGATCAGGTGCTTTGATGAAGGACTCCTGCGCGCTTTTTCCCAGTAAAGGTTTTAATGGTGATCACAGGGACAGCGCTGCTGTTTCGCCCAGCTTGACATCAGCATCTCGGTCCACCCTCTTGCGCTCCACGTTAAACTGTTTCAGTACTGCACTGCAGGTCCGGTCAGGTGCTGAATCTACATCCACACAGTTTACAGTCCCAGCGACAGATAGCGAGAGGTGAAGCATGTAGAGGCAGGTGTCCCGTACTGGGCTCCGGCTCTGTCTTCCTAAGCCAGGGGATCAGCAACCTTTGAGCCCCAAAGAGCCATTTGGACCCGGTTTCCACGAAAAACAAACAAACACTATTAACATGTTCATTTATTCTGATTTTCTCACACTGGTATCTGCCACCGCGTCCACTTTGGAAACATTTACAAGCTTTTGTTTTTTCTGCTGCTTAAAATATATTTTTGTAAAAAGGTAACAAAGAAAAATCCAAATAGCATTTATGATTTATTTCAGTATCATTCTGTGAATTCAACAATCAGACAGCATAAAATGTTTGACAACTTTAGAATAATTTTATTATAAAATACAAGTAAATAACTTTTAAAAGTAGCTGTTAAGTTCAAACTAAAGCTGTCCGGGCTGTGCATCACACCTGAACCTCAAACTAATGTTCAGAACAAAGTGTCTGCAGCTGCATTTTAAACCTTACTTCACACACGTTCAGTGTTAAAGTCATTTTAGCCTCATGTTTACATCTAAGATGCAACTGTGACAATTTTCCATCAGTCAGCTTATAAGACAAATCACTCAAGATTAATGTGTAACAGAAAATGAGACGAGATGATGATGAATATGTGATGTAATCACCGTCTCCGCTCTTATGTTGACAAATGAATAACTATAAAAACAGCAAACTATCATAAATCTGGGATTTCAGTGTTTGTAAAAATGTAAACTTGTACAAGTTAATTCGCTGCTCTACGCACTGACAGTGATTTGATGAAACAGGAAATGAACTGGAGGGCGCGTCAGCTGATTCAGGTGCAGCTCTCAGATTTCAGGGTGTTGTCTAAACCAGCTTCCTTCCCCCCCGGGACGCTTCCTCGAGCTGGCCGCACATATTTACACACAAATACACACCACGAGTTGACCTTTGACTTCAACATGAGCCTGTGTAAGCTCAGACTGGAGGACTGTGGGAAGGCACTGCAATGTATTTCAGCAAACATTTAGTGGCACTTCCCCTCAGACTGGCCAATTGTGACACTTGTTCTGCATTAATCAGTGTCCAAGCATCACAGCTGCTGTGAACATTGCATCCATGATCCTTCAGTTTTGCAGAGTGACAATTATTTTATTAATATTAGTACTCAGTATAAATGGGTACACCTTACACCTGTGCAATTCATAAATACATCTTGGTAATCAGGGTGGCCACCTTAATAAGGTAGTGTTAAAAATTTTTCTCTTTTGGATCTAGAAAAGACAACATGATGGCCCAGACTCACCTGAGCCACTCTGACTCAGGTGAGTCTGGGTTTATGCTCGAGGAAGAGCTGCGCATTAAAACAAACAAATATAAATAAGCGGCATTGTTGGACTGTAAACTTTTATCAGCTTTTTAAGCTTCGTGACTGTAAAAAGGTGCTGTTGTTATTACATGACTCTATACAGAAATAATGGTACTAAAATGAGACAAAAATATCAAAGTGCCAACATGTGAAACATGGCCAGTATAACCACAGAACAAAAACAGAAGAATAAATATGCAGAAACACTGACAATAATTTGAAGGAACCAAAATAAGAATTTCTTTGCTTTGTGTGATGCAGAGAAAAGAAACCATAAGGTCACAGAAGAAGACCAAAGTAATGTCTACAATGCAGCAATAATCACCAGAACTGTTATTAAATCGTGTTAATTCTGTGTAATTCTAACAATGCAGAACAGGTTGTTTTGGCTTTAATAGCAAGAAAAGCAGGTGTATGTGCATTATTTCCCTTTGTATTCTGATTGGCTGGTTTTAATTAGTTGCTTTGAATTCTCTGACAGGAAGAGCTCTATTTGGATGAGTACGAGGCAGAGCCTGTGGCACATGTGTTTCTATTGTAAATGAGACAGCAGGTCTCAGTGGGACTGCCTGTATAAATAAAGGTTAAATAAATAAACATGAGGTAAAGAGCTCACAGAGAAGAGACCTGAATGTTCACGATGGCTCTACCTCTCAATTTAATGAGTGTAAAGTAATTAAGAACATTTGGTCCTGAATTTTCACAGCTGGCTGAAGGACATTCTGAGCTCCTCCTCCCTCATGCTATGATCCAATCGCTGTGTCTCAGACTCTAGGATGGATGGGATTGGATGTTGTGTGATAGTTGCTAGTGAATCACTGAGGTCAAGTCTCAGAGAGAGCATTGACTAGCTGTTTCTGGAGGACTGCTGAATGAACTCTGCCCTTTGTTGCTGACCGACAGCCAGTGCAAACTGGAGCTGCTTCACCTGGAGGAGAGGAGAGACATCATCAGCACCCACCTGACATCAGAACACCAGGAAGTCTTTTTGGTGCTTTGCACTCACCTGGTCCTGCAGCTCCCTCACTTTGCTCCTCAGTTGCTGCTCTTCTGTGGTGGTTAAAGAGCCCTAAAACACACAATAGGTTTGCAACCACACGTGCCTCTATTGACATTTGTCACAAACACACACCTCATAGTCTGGACAAATGCACTTACACTAACACAACCTGTAATTATTACTGTAATAAGGGAACTGTGTGTCTCACCTGGATGCTCTCACTCAGCTGCTGTCTGAGCCTCGAGCGCTCTTCCTCCACCTGAAATACACAATAATGTGTACTCACGTCAGTGTGTCTGCTGTGTATCTGGATACCTTTCTTAGTGTTGTGTGCCTCAGTATGCCAAGGTGGTGTCTCTGCATATTGAAATCTGTCTCGTCCTAGGCTCACACTGGGTCTGTGACTCAGACTTCTTTTGCCCTTTGTTTACACCAGGAGCAAATATGGTGACCAGATTATATCCTATATCAGAACATAGTTTGACCAGATTCTCTGTGCTGCTCCTGGGTCCTAGTTCTTGCCACTTTACCTTGCTGTGTGCAACTCGACACTTCTTGTGTTAAAAATAGATCCAACGCTATTTTACGTGACGTGGAGCAAAGACACGGCAACGTTTCTTTAAAGCTCCGCGGCACATCTGCTGGGATGTGGTTGCAATCAACTCAGGTCACTTAAGACAAACTGCATCCTGCTGTGTACCTGTGGCTTAATGTAGAAGTGTACACGGCGTCTCTCTGGGTGCGTGCACGTGTACCTGTCTCATTGTTGTGTATACCTGTTGCAGCGTCTCTCTCAGTGTGTGTGTCGCTCTTTTCAGTTTGTCTTTCTGATTTTCCAGATGAAAGTTTTTCTTGTTCAGTCGTTTCTGATCCAGTTCCAGTTCAGCCACCAGACTCTGCAGGACCGTCAGTCTCTCCTTCAAACCCTGCAGACACATTTTCCCCACACAGCTCCACTTTACAACCCGTTTCCTGTCGATGCACTTTGAGTACAGCTGCACTGACAGCATGACCACAAACTGACCTCTGTATCAGGTCTCCTTTTATAGCCCACCAAAGCTGCATCTGTTTGCTGTGATCCAGCTAATCCGATTCCATCCCGGTCCTCCTCCATCTCCTCTGTGCTCTGACTCGGAGTGTCCACCTGCACATCAGCAATAAAAACAGTTACATTACAATGTCAAATTAACAGAACAGCGTCATAGCGATTACATGCAACCCATATACAAGATGACGTTATTTATAATAATGCTTAAGCTCAACCCCAGATCTTTGTGAACTTATGTAGCACGTTTTCAGCTCAGAAGCATTTAACACCCTGTGATCAACTTCAATAAAATCCTTGATAACACAAGTTTGAATGATCAGTGTAGTGGGGCAGTGCTATTATTCACAGTTTGATCTGATAGCAGAGTTCAGGCATTGAACAAACACTATACGAGGACTTACACACGTTTTAGGCTTCAGTTAGAGAATTCACTCATTAACAGGTATAACCTGTTTCTTTGTTACTTCTTGTAAAGAGTCTTGAGATCATTCCAGGTTGCAAAAAACAATATCTGGATAATCTCTGGGTGGACAGCTGGAATCATGATGGGTGGGCATGTGGTTTTCACTGGCACTGTGTCACTGGTGTTTGTTGCTGTGACAGAAGACAGGGACACGGGAGAGAAACTACAGATCGATGACCCAAAACTGTAAAACATGGGATCCCAGCCTGTGAACCGCTTCAGCACAAGCTGGAGGTCGCCAAGGCGACAGAACTACATCGTCCACAAAAGCAAAGACGAAATCCTGAGGCCACCGAGGGGGAGACCCTCCACCACCTGGCTATAGCTACATATTCTGTGCATAAATATTATGAACACAATCATGACAAAAGGGAGCCTGACAGAGTCAAACACCCACCAAAAATGAAACCGTCTTACTGCCGGCAATATGAACCAAGCCCTCGCTATGGTTGTACAGGGACAGAGTGGCCCGTAACAACAGGCCAGACATTTCATACTCCCAATAGGACACTGCCCAAGAAACTGCCCAAGTTCTCCAAGCCAAAACCCACACGTGTGCAAACTCTCCTGCACCTCAAATATCCTGAGAGGATAAAGAGTTGGTCAGGTGTTCTGAGACAACAGTGAAAACCACATTGTTCCTCCTGAATCTGAGGTCTGACTAATGGATAAACTTTCACGGGCTGAGAAATGTGCAAAATTACAGACAAAGTCCTGGCAGCCTACTGCCCAGACAGTCCTTTGGTTTTTAACTGCAGTCGTTCTACAGCAGAAAGTGAAAAACAAACAGTTAAAGTTCAAAATTTCTGCTCGTGCTTGTTTGTGGTGAGAAATCAAACAAGTTAAGAATGATCAAATGGCTTCAAGCACACAGACTCATCCAGACACCCAGTGTCACTGAAATGCAGCCAGATGTTTGCTCATTGCACGTTTTCACGCCTTCCTTCACTATTTCCCGACACGCTTGCTCTCCCGTCTTTCTACGTACCTGTCCTGTACACCTACACTTGGTGTCTTTTGGAAAGTCAAACCATTTGAGATTCCATAAGACTGGTAATGGTATGATCCCAGTTTGCCTGTGCATCTGATTGGCCACATGGTGAGCCTATCAAAATAAAGTCCCACCCCTGCCTGCATGGATTCTCAGCAGTGATGACGATCAGGCTCGCTGACGTGTCGTCTCTCAGGCTGGATGTGATTGTACATCCTGTGTTCAGTCATGCAGAATGCTTTAGTCACAATAACTCCAGCGTTCAGTTCAGCGTACAGACGACAAACGGTGAGTACACGAGGTTTACTTTAACGACAGCACGTTGTTCTTCTTACTGATATATGGTTCGTGTTACTGCTGGAGCTGACAGAATACTGGCCCGCAGGCCGTATGTTTGACACCCCTGCTACAGAGGGTTCAAGCAGTTTGACCTCAGGCTGGTTTCTTCAGTTCAAGCAGTATCACTGTCAGGATGACTGTGTTTCTACAGTGTTTGTGTGACTGACAGACTGAAGTACCTGCAGGGAGTTTGGCACCATCACCTCCACGCTCTGCTTCACTCCTCTCAACTCCTCCTGAGGAAAGTCATCTTTCGTCTCTGTCAGCTTGTTGTTTTCCATCTCCTGCACTTCCTCCTTGAGAGCTGTCACCTCTTCCTCCGTCCTCCGTAGCTTCTCCTTTATCTGCTCCTTCTCATTTTGTTCTTTTTGCAGCTCTTTTTTAATAACCAGTAACTCCATCTTAGTCGTCCTCAGCTCTTCCTGCGTCTCCTCTCCCCACACCTCTCTGAGATATTGTGCTTCTTCTCTCCATTTTAACAGCTCATCTTGTGCCTCCTCCTTCCTTCTTTTCTCCTTTTGTACCGCCTCCCTAAGCACCGACATCTCTAGATTGCTTCTCTCCATCTCCTTCTGCACTTCCCTCCTAAGAGTCCACGCCTCCTCCTCCTCGGTGTCCAACAGCCTTGCTTGCTGCTCTTTGGCTCTCATTGGTCCATCAGCTTCTTTTCCCATCTCTATCGATTTATCCTGCAGACGTTTCTTCTCTTCCCTCAGTATCATCAGCTCATCCATTTCTCCTTTCGTCGTCTCCTGAACTTCCTTTAGCGTGTTCTCCAGTCTCCTCTTCTCCTCCACCGTCTTCCTCAGCACCTCTCTTTGGTCCTTCATGTCACTTTCTACTTCAGACAGTTGTTCCTCCAGCCTCTTTGTCTCCTCCCCAGCTCTCCTAAGTGCTTCTCTCTCTTCCTCGGCCTCCCTAACTTTCTCCTCTAATCTCTTCTTCTCCTCCCCAACCTCCATCAGCTTACTTTGCAATCTCCTCGTGTTTTCTTTCTCGGTTCTACTTAGTGCCTCCCATTCTCTTCTCTCCTCGTCCTTCTCCTCCAGTATAGCTCTTAACCGCTGCACCTCCTCCTCTTGCTCCACACAGATATGGTTAAGCTTTGTAGCCTCACTCTCGCTGTGTTCTGCCCTCTCCTGCCACTCCTTTATCTCCACCTGCAGCCTGTCACGGGCTTCCTCCATTTCTCTTACTCTTTTCCTTGCTCCCTCGCTCTTTGTCCGTCCCTCCTGTAGCTCCCTAACCTGGGAGGAGATCGTGTCATCTTTTTCCATACCTTTCCTACTTCCTCTCACCTCCTTTTGCTTTAGTCTGGCATTCACCTCTCGATGGTCCCTCTCTCCTTCCTCCTCCCCCTCCTTCAGATGTTCCCGATGTTCCTCCCCTACTTCTTCTCTCTCCCTCACCTGTAATTCCAGGCTCTGCTCCTTACATTTCGCCTCTGCCTTAAATTCATTAAACTTCTCATTGGCCACATTCAGCCTTTGCCTCATCAGCTCTGCCTCCGCCGCTTTCTCCTTTAGCTTCTCGAGCAGCTTTGCAACCACCTCCTCCTTCTCCTCGAGCAGTTTGTCTTTCTTTCTCCTTTCATCCTCTTGTGATGTTGAGATTTCTTTTTTCAGTCTGTTAATCTCCTCCTCTTGTTCTTCCACTCTCACCCTCCATCTGTCCCTCTCAGCTTCTGTCCTCAGCTGGTCCACCTTCTTCTCCCTTTCCTCCTCCCTTTTCAATCTCTCCATCCGCTCACAGAGGGCTTCCACTTCTCTGTCCCTCTGCTTCGTCTCCTCTCTTCTCCTCTCCTCCCAAAACTCCTTCTCCTCTCTCAGCCTTTCCTCTGTCCTCTTTACCTCCTCTTCCAGTTCCTCCTTCTCTCCCTCTAATCGCTGTACTCTTTCTATCATGAGGTTGATTCGAGTCTTCATCTCTATTACCTCCTTCCTCATTTTCTCCTCTTCTCTTTGCCTCTCCTCCACCTCCTCAGTTAATCCCTCAATGCAAATCCTCAGCACCTCAGCTCCTTCTCTTCTCCCCGAGTTCTCACTAAAGAAACTCCTTTCTTCCTGTTCGGTCTCCGTCTCATCCTTCCTCTCCATTTCCTCCCTCCTCCTCCTCCTCAGCTTCTCTATCTCCTCTGTCATCCTCTCCATGTCCTCTTGCAGTGCCTTCCTCTCCTCCTCACTCATCTCTCTCCTCTTCTTCTCATCTTCTGCCCTGGACATCATCTCCTCCAGCTCGCCTCTCAGACACTGGATCTCCCCTTTAAAAAGACAAAAAAAGTTTTAAATACAACTAAAGTACTTTACATGAAAATCACTGTTGTTCCTATTAATGTCAGCACAACTGATATGTTTCACTTGAGTGTGTTCACTGGGATGACTTCATTCACACTGCATTTAATCAGAGTGTGTGTGGACGTTAGAAAGTTTGAGACATGTTGTCCTCAGAGCTATCGAGTCAATCCTCACAACTCTGTCCGAGGAGGAGAGCAGCTGTGGTCTCGAGACAGGCTGCTGGGAACAGTGGGAGACTGGAGGGAGACAGGACTGTGATCAGCACACTCAAGCCTGCTGCTGTCTGAGGAGTCTAAACCTGTCATGTTGCTTGTCCCGTGGGAAAGCTGCTTAGAGGAGGCTCAGGAAAGAAAGAGGGGAAATAAGCAGACGTGGTAGCCAACTGTTGGAGGCAGGGGTTAAAGCCATGCTGCAAACCTGTGGAGGTGGGGTGTAGGGGCTCTGGGGCCCAGTCACTACAACGAGTCCTGTGAAGCAATAAAGCCATCGAACATCTGAGAAGCTGGTTGAAGAGAGGCAAGTCAGAGCTCGGTCACCCTGGGAGAGAGCCTCTCTAAGATGTCTTTTAATACTCAATCATGTTGCCAATTAAGCTAAAATCTCTGGTGCTGTTTATTTTTCAGCCTTTTGATGCCACCTTTGTTGAGATGTGTTACCGACTAATAGTGGTCTTAAAACAGGCCCATTTTCTCAGTTCAAACATGTTTAATGTTGTGAATAAAATGTTGGTTTATGAGATCTGCATTCTGTTTTTATATCTTCATCACTTTTTTGGAATTTGGTTTGAAGTGCCACATTTATGTGTTTTCATTATTCTTAAAGGTTTGATATTATGACTTTAGGCGTACTGTCACTGACCATGTAAGGTGTCTTTGGCCTGCTTCAGAGTGTGGATGTGTGTGTTCAGCTGACATTTTTCCACCTCTGACTGTGAGAGACGCTTCTGCTGCTCACTGAGCTGCTGGTGGGCAGACAGCGACAGAGACCTGCAGGCAGAGAGAAACAGGATGTCAGTATGATGCGACCCGTACAAACAAACCCTGAGTTTATTTCGCGTGCTCAGCACCGGATCTCCTGCAGATCAACTTCGAGCTGCTCCTTGTGCTTCTGCAGACTATCCAGCTCCTCTTGTAGCCACCTACTCTCTCTGAGCTGCTCCTGCTGTTGTATGCTCCCATTTTTCACCTCCTGCATTGCGTGCCCCAGCCGGTCCTGCACCTCCTTCAGCTCCTCACACATTGCGGCATGCTGAAAGGACCGGTCATCCACCTGCTGTTCACCCACAGAGGGAAAGCTCCCGTCTTCCTCTGGCTCTCGTCCTCTCAGCTGCTGAACAGCATCTTCCTCAGCCTCTCTCTGTACTCTAACAGACACAGCACAATTCACACTAATTATTCAGGATTGAAATCAAATTAACTTTACTGTTCTGGCCTGACGACTTGGGTGCAAACTGACCTCACCTGAGCTTGCTGAAATTCATGTTTAGGGTCTTGACTTCCCTCTCCAGGGAACTGACTTGTGACCTTTGAGCCTGCAGCTGTGATTGGCCCTCTGACAGCTCAGACTCCAGCTGGTAACAGACACGTGAACTGACTTACATGATGTACACTAAAGCTGGAAGCCACAGAGAGGGGCATGTAGGGAGGAGTACCTGCAGCAGCTGTTTGTGCAGCTCTCTCTTGTCTGAGGCCAAAGAAGAGTTCAGGGTGGACAGCTTGTCTAGCGCATCCCGTCCCTCCTCCACCTCCCGTCTTAACGCGCTCTCTTGCAACGACAGACGCGACACGCACTCCCTGGACTGATGAGACAAAGATGGCAGCCAGAGCGTCATTCTATGCAAATGACCAAGCTACGAGTCTTCCTCTGAGGACAGACACGTTCTCGGTGTCATGTCTGTACCTTCTGTAAGGCATCTCTCATATCAGAAGCGTCTTCCTCGGCTCGCTGCTTGTCCAGCTGCTCCCTCTCTAGTGCTCCCTGCGAGAAAAGAGGACGACGACACCAGAAGATGTTCAGCTGTTTTAAATGATGCACTACTTATTTTAGTGACAACAGTTTCTGAAGAGGACCATTTCCTGCTGTGTGCTAAATGGAAGAAAAGCTAAATCGCCCACAATACGATAGTTTCACAATATATGATTGTGATTTTTAACATTTTGCAGTAAGCGTAGTATTTGAATCACATTTAATGTGATTTATCACCTTTTTCACACAGCCAGTCATCAGTCTGTAACTGAACGGGGTCCGACTGGCAGGTCTGTCATTCTATGCTGGATGGTTTTTGTTGATTTATGCCACGTTTGCTGGGCTAACGTTCTCTCAGAATGGTGACGCAGGAGTTTATTATGCTTTTCATTGACTGATATTTGGTCTCCACGTAAAATATCACATCACTGCTCCGTCTCAGTTCAGGTATAAAAACTGCTTGAGTGACTGAGCCTGTTTACCTTCAGACTATACATTTCTGCTTGGGTCAAAGTCTCCCGCTTTGTTAGCTGGACGTTCTCCAACACCTCAGTCTCAACTCTGAAACAAAACCAGTGCATTGCTGATGAACCAGTAAAGCACAGTGCAGTGCAGTGGTGACCTATGCTGAGTACCGTCTGCGCATTTCTGTCTGCAGCTGTCTGTTCCTCTCTTCCTGTTCGTCTTTCTCCTTTCTCAGTCTGTGATGTTCTCTCCTCAGCTCTTCCTCCCTCCTCTGCAGCTCCTCGACCTGCAGACGCAGGAAGGACGCCGTCTCCTTCTCTCTGTCACACACATCGGTAAATACAGAGCTGTCAACTCTGTCAGTGTCGTTCACTAATTCATTTACAAGCATGAATGACACAAGTGTAGCAAAAAATCTGAATTGATTTTCTCTGTGTGAACCTGCTCAGTACGTCCATAATGTGGCCGAGCTCCTGCTGCTGTTGTTGTTTGTGTGTGTGTAGCTGCTGGTTGTCGTCCTCCAGCTGCTTCAGTCGCAGGTGCAGGGCTGATCTCTGCTCACCGAGCTGCTGCAGAGATCGCTGTGCCCCCTGACACACACACACACACACACACACACACACGCACACACACACACGCGCACACACACACGGTAAGGCTTTTGACTAGCACACACATAACCATACTGATTCAGACTGCAGGCGTGCGTGTGCCGCTTTTTGACTGTATAATGAACATCAGGCTGAGTAACTTTAGACATCTAAAATACATTTGCAATATTTTAAATGTGATAATGATTTTTTATTTCATGTAATTTATTTAAATTGGTTAAAATTAAGGAGCTGTCCTACAACAAAATTACGCTTTAATACAACATTAAGGGAAAATTGAATTTATCAGAAATGTGTGAAAATGATCATTTTCAGTTACAATGTAGCCGTCCGTACTTGTTTGAAGCGCTGTCATGTCACTTTAGGATCAGCTGCACAGCGCTGTCCACACAGACTTGCTTTGTCTGGGAACCATGAACATCAGTGTAACACACTACAGCAGAGTCTGGGCCTAAACAGACAACTCCTTAAGATGATGGACTAATCCTGGCAGTTTGCACAGCCAACACTCAGTAACATGAAGTTTTGAACAGTATACACAATTTTAACTACTTCAGTACTTTGGTGTTAAAACCTGCACTTTGAAGTATTTCACATGACAAATACACACTTTCCAACAAACTGGTGTGAAACTGTTAGCAGAGCTGCTCTGTGCAGCGTTATGGCATAATAATTTTAAGGGAGAATAAAAAGTCGACACACATATCTCATTCCTGACGGAGGACTCTACCACTACACTTCTCCAGTCCATTCACAGAGTCGTTGCATGGTAAGACATGGATAGGAAGTGGGCGGAGCCTTTTACCGTCATTTTATTACGACGCAAAGTACAAACACCTGTGGACACACAATCCAACACCCCCACTTGTACACAGGTTGGGGAAAAACAATCCTCCGGAAAAAACATCTTACATTCCAAACACAAATACAGAGAATTTGTCTAACTTAGACTTTGAAACTGGTTTCGTCATCATATCTGCTACCATTGACTCAGTTGTTCAGTAATCAATGAGCACTTTCCTTTCATGTACAGCTGACCTTATAAAATGATATTTCACATCAATGTGTTTACATCTTTGTCTGTTCACTGGATTTTTTGACAAAGCGATTGTTCCCTGATTGTCCTCCAATATCATAGGTGTTTCATACTTAAACTCATCAAGATCTTGAATCAAATAAGTCAAATACATACATTCCTGAACTGTTGCTGCTAATGCCATGTATTCGGCTTCACATGTTGATAGTGCTGTAGTTGTCTGCTTTTTGGTTTTCCATGATATCAAAGGACCATTTTCATTTAGGCTTACACAATAACCTGTCATACTGCGTCTATCAGAAACATCGGATGCCCAGTCTGCATCACTGTATGCTTGTAGACCTAGTTTTCCACTTGAACGTTTCCTAAAACACAGTTCTTTTCCTCGACTACCTTTTAGATACCTCAGAACATGTTTCACTGCTGTCCAATCATCAACAGTTGGCGCATTGAAATGTTGTGACAGTTTGCTGACAACATAGCTTAAATCAGGTCGCGTACAATAGCTCAGATAAATAAGACATCCTACCGCTTCACGATATCTCCTCACATCTGGTAATGTCTCGGATTTATCAGAATGAGTCCATTTCTGTTCACAGGGTGTTAACCTTGGCTTACAGTTTTGCATGTTAAATCTCTTTAAAATGTTCTCAATATATATTTTCTGTGACATTCTGACACATTCTTTTTCTTGAATAAAATCTATTCCTAGAAAATGGTTAAGTTTCCCCAGATCTTTCATTTGGAATTTAGAAGAGAGCATTTCTTTCACGCCTGAAAGCACATTTTCATTGTTAGCTGCAATGAGTAAATCATCCACCCACACTATGATGATTACTTTTTCACTTTCAGTTTCTTTTGAATACACACAATGATCAGCAATATTTTGTCTAAATCCACAACTGCTTAAATAGTCATGTAAGGTTTGGTTCCAGTTACGACCCGATTGCTTCAGCCCATAAAGTGATTTCTTTAATCTGTACACCAGTTTATTAGTCTCACTTGATTCTGTCTCAAAACCTTCTGGTTGTTGTATATATATTTCTTCATTTATTGGTGCGTGTAGATAGGCGGTTTTTACATCCATCTGGTGAACCAACATATCATCCTGAACCACTTTCTGCATCAAAACTCTCACACTCGATAAGTTAGCAGTCGGTGAAAAAGTCTCCTCATAATCAACTCCTTTTGTTTGACTAAAACCTTTAGCCACAAATCGAGCTTTATATCTGTCTGATCCGTCTGAGTTCTTTTTAACGGCATAAACCCATTTACCCCCCACTGCTTTCTTACCCTCTGGTAAAGTGGTTAAAGTAAATGTGTCATTCTCCTTAAGGGATTGAATTTCTTCATTCATCGTTTTTTCCCCATTCTTTTGACTCACTTGACACAATAGCTTCGCTAAATGATGTGGGTATTTCACACAACAATCTGTAGCAATAATCAACACTGGTTTGCATCTGTTCATTTTCACACTCTTTCACATCCGTGATATAATCACTCAAATAATCAGGTCTCTTTCTGATTCTGGATGGATAACGTGTAGCTCCAGCATCTACTTTATCATCAGTTTTAACCTCGGACTCAGTTTGACTGCTTTTACTACCATCTGGAATATCCTCATCCTTCGTCTGTTTGGGTTCACCATCTTTTCTGGATTCATAAACCTCATCTTCATACATCTGATCACTCTGTGTTTGTTGATCCATTGTCGCGGGATTTAGTATTTTTATCAATCTGTGCTTTTCAACTTTCCCGGTTTTTGGGAAATAGATCAAATATGCTGGACTATTTTTGTCATATCCCAAGAAAACACCTTTGTCGCATCTTGGATCCAGCTTTCCCCTATTTTGTTTATAAGCATAGCACAATGATCCGAATTTTTTCATTCTAGAAAGATCAGGTCTTTTTCCAGTTAACATCTTATACGCTGTCTGACCTGTGCGTTTGTTAAAACATCGGTTCCGAATCACTCCCGCGGTTTGTACTGCATATGGCCATAAAGACTTTGGCAATTCGCTCTCAACTAACATGCATCTCGCCATGTCAAAAAGTGTACGCCAGTTCCTCTCTGCTGTTCCGTTTTGATGAGGCGAATATGGCGCCGAAGTTTCCTGCCTAATGCCGTGTCTACTTAATAAATCTCTGAACTGTCTGCTTGTAAATTCAGTTCCATTATCAGAACGAAAGCACTTGATTTTCCCATATGACGCCACCTCTGCAATAAATCTTTCAGTTGCTTGAGTTGTATCACTTTTGTGTTTCAGATTATATACAAATGTTGCACCTGAATAATCATCAACAAACGACAAAACATACTTAAACCCTTCTTTAGAGTTTGGCGTAATCGGACCAGCTAAATCCGTATGTACCAACTCTAATGCTGCCCTGGCCTTTTCATCCGGTTCTTGGTTCCTAGTTTGAGTAAACTTCCCTTGTATACAGGCTTCACATTGCATGTTTTTGTTGATTTTACCCTTAATTTCCATTCCATCAACGACATTTTGCAGATTTTGAACATCCTCATAATTACAGTGTCCTAGAATTTCATGCCACGTTTGCATATCAAAACATCCATTACATTTCTCTTCAAACTCTTGCACAGTGTTTATAAAGAACAGTCTCTCGTGTTCATATATAGGGAATTTTGTTCCATCAACATGTTTAAGAAAACTGTCCCCGTGTTTGAAAACCACAGTGGCTCCGTTACTAGTAGCTGCTTTTACTGACAAAATGTCCTGTGGAAACGATGGAATGTAGAGTGCTTGTTTCAATGTTACCTTGTGACTGCGTCCTTTACTGTCAATCATACTTATCTCAGCATCTCCTCGCCGCTTTGCAGCTCCTCTGCTCCGCCTTCCGTCAGCCAACTCTACACAATGAGCCTCGGGTCGAAATGTGTCATCAAAAGTCTTAAAACTCTCGATCTTCGTAAAGATATGTGACGTCGCTCCCGTATCCACCAGTAGCTGGTTATTCAGCATCTCTTGGCCGCCGTCCGGGACCCTCTGGGGTTCGGAGCCCGTCTTGAACGCGTAGTCCTTCTCCACAACCCTCTCGCTTCATCCTGTCTCAGCTTCCTTCTACAGGTCGCATCTTTGTGTGTACTACTCCGGCAAAAACTGCACCATACTCTGGATCGGCACGTTCTTGCAGTGTGTCCCTTTAGTCCACATTTAAAACACACAATCTCATTATTCTTTGATCTTCGGTCATCTGCTCGCCATGAAGTAGAATCCTGGTCTGATTGCACTTTTGTCCTCATTACGTTGTCATCAGTTACAGCCGCACGCATTCTCTCGGTTTCTTCATAACTTCTGAGTTTTACTTTAAAATCTGAAAATGTGATTTTTGCTTCACTCTGTGTAACGTGCACAATCAGGGGTTTAAACCTCTCTGGTAGTCCTCTCATTATCATTGCGATCAGAAGTCCATCAGTTAATGACTCACTTTTTAACGCTGTGATAATTGCTTCTGCTCGGATAATATAGTCCGTCACACTTTCATTCTTTTCATTTGTGAGAGAAGTAAGTTCGGTGTACAGACTTATGATCCTTGGCTTGCCCACTCCTGCATAATGACCTCTCAAAATTTTTAGGGCTTTCCGTCCGTCATCAACTGCATCTCTCATAACTAACGATAAACTTTTGTCATCCAGAAATTGTATCAACTCTGCATATGCTTCTGCATTTTTGTCATCATCTTCACCTTCGGCTTCTCCATCACCCTCAGCCTTTAAGATGACATCTTTCAAACCTTGTAGTCTGAGATGACCAAGGAACTTCGTTTCCCATATCTCATATTTCCTTTCATCTCCATCAAACTGCAAACGGGAATATCGACTGCCCGACTCTGCCGTGCGTCTGCTCATGATGCACAAAAACGCTTACTCACTCAATCGTGCCAAACTTTTAACACCTGCCGGTAACTTGCAGTTTCAGGAAACGCTGCCCTTCCTTTGGCAGTTACAGGATCTCTTTACTGCTGCTCTGGGCCCATAACCTGTTAGCAGAGCTGCTCTGTGCAGCGTTATGGCATAATAATTTTAAGGGAGAATAAAAAGTCGACACACATATCTCATTCCTGACGGAGGACTCTACCACTACACTTCTCCAGTCCATTCACAGAGGCGTTGCATGGTAAGACATGGATAGGAAGTGGGCGGAGCCTTTTACCGTCATTTTATTACGACGCAAAGTACAAACACCTGTGGACACACAATCCAACAGAAACTGTGAAAACCTGTAGACAATCAGGGATCAGGAGGCAGATATTGTGGCTACACTGACACAATCATAAAAACAGTAGTGACTTTGCATATGAGAACTATATTGTGTTGTTTACCTGTAATTCCTCATTTCTCCACTGTAGGGCGCTCTCAGTCTGAGACAGGACGGAAAGCAAGCAGGACAGATCCAGGCTAAGGACACCCTCTGAGGAGATGTTCAGCGACTGACTGCTGGCTGAGGTCAGGACTCTGGACTGAACACAAAGTAGAACACAAGCTAATTTCAAATGCTTCACTTACTGCTGCTGACAGAGGCTCTTAGGGCTTCATGTAGACCAGCCATCAACACGAACTACTGCAAGAATTCAATTATATTGCTATAGTGCCAAATCACAACAACAGCCGCCTCATAGACTGTATATTGGAAGGTAAAGACCCTACAATAACAGAGAGAAACAGCCAGAGATTAAAAATAACTCCGTTAAATGCAGAGTGGTGTATAAACACATGGTGAGAGAAGAATGCTCATTGCATCATGGGAAGTAGAGCCATGCATGGGGCTACTTTACCTCTGAGCATTACCCTCCTGTCCGTTTGTCACTCCCACAATATTTGTGTCCAATCCTGCCCACACTCGCAGACTCGTCATAGCTTCCACGTGACATCAGAGCTACTGGGACACGCCCACCTGGAGGGCAAAACGGTATTGCATCCTTTGCCCTCCAGGGATCCTTCAAACATCTTTTAGTTTAAAATAGCAAAAGTGACAGACAGCTGCTGAGCTGGTGGATGCACTAACTGACGCTCGTTTACAGCTGCCAGAGGGAACACAGAGTATGGCACCGGTATGTGAACACAGCTCTCCTAACCCCGCCTTACGGGCCAAATCGCACCGATCCCTGCTTCTCCACAGCAACCCTGTGGTGGCTCATTCAAACTGCAGGAATGATTTACTGACGTCGGAAAAATACTCTGTCAACTTCACTGTTATGACACAACTTTTCTAACCCTACACAGTAAATATCAAAGTCAACTAAACGTAAGACGAGTGCGAGTTCATTGAAGCTAGCTATGTAGCGCTAACCTGTGCTTCAACAGTGAACAACCTCTTGTTCTTCGTCTCCTACACAGTGGCATTGTTTACCCATCTAGGTCGAAAACACACAGCTGTCCACACTTTGAAAGCTTTAATCCTGGCATCAATATAAGGGGAGCGTTTCTCTACAAGATACAGGTAGATGTCCCTGAACTAGAGCTCTGGGAGAGACGTCATCACTTTCAGGGATTTAAATAAAGCTGGGTCACCTGATCCAGCCCCAACTTCAAGCTTTGTCAAAAAGGCCTAATCTTAAAAGTACAGATGGGGTCTGTCTCCTGAATCCAAGCTGCGAGTTTCTTCCGCAGAAGAGGGACCTGAAAGTTCAAGGCTCTGCCTCCCATTCTACTTTTGAACATCCCAGGAACCACAAGTAAGCCTGCAGTGTGGGAGCGAAGTGATACAGCACCCTGAGGACAACCTCATGGTGCTCTCCCAGTGTGGTGGCAAGATTTCCACGTGTAAGGTCTCTGGAAGTCTCTATGCCTATAAATGGTGAGTGTAAACTTTAGTTTGGTCAGACAAGACCAAAAATGAACTCTGTAGATGCCGTAATCCACCATGTTTGGATGTCAAGGGGCACCGCATATCAGCCCCAAAACCCCAAACCCACAGTGAAGTCTAGAGGTGGGAACATCCTGTTTGTGGGCTGTTTTTCAGCATACAGCACTGGCATGCTTCATAGAGACGAATATATAATAAATAGTAAATTGTTTTAGCAAAACAAACAGCTGAGGACGGTGAGTTGGTTTCAGAGATGATGTTACAGCTGGCCGGCCAATCAGCTGACCTGAATCCAAATGAAAATCTCTGCACTTGAGTTCTTTTTACAACCTTCAGGATTTAAAAAGCTGCTTGTAGAACGCGTCAAAAATCCCACCTGAGCAATTTCTCCATACAAAAGGTGTCTTGAAGCTGTCGTCACCAACAAAGCATTAAATACATTTCAGTATTTAATATTTCCCCCTGTGTCATTTCTCATTATTACAGATTAATGTATGAACATCTATGGTTTGATGTCTTTGAATATTGGATGGGCTGTTACTGGTTGTTACTGGTTGTTACTGGCTGTTACTGGTTGTTACTGGTTGTTACTGGCCAACACCCCTTTCAGAAATAGACTGACTGATAAAACTGGTGACGTGTTCAATAATAACTGTACTCATGTAACAACAGCAGTGATCCAGTTTCTATTTGACTTCGTTAAACAGGACAATAGAAACGCTGTCCTTGGACATCTCACCAACATAACACACTCACCAGTTTGATCACAGCATGGCTCACAGACTGCAGGCTTCTCTGTATTACTCTATGTCTCTCGGCCTCCCTCTCGCTCTCCTCCCTCAGACTGACCTCGGTCTGCAGTGAGCCAGTGAGCGCCTCAATCCTGGCAAAGAAAGGAGAATGATCGAGAGGAGAACAGAGGGAGGTGCAGGATGTGTTTGAACGTCTGGTAGAAGCTAATTTACCTCTGCTGCAGCTGTAAAACTTGAGTCTCCTGAACAGACTTCACCTCTGAAGTGCCTTGCTCGTCCTCGTCCCTCCTTTCCTCATCCTTCTCCTCTTTGAGTTCCAACTCTCCCAAAGAAAAGATTCGCATTGTGGATGAGAGGAGAGGAGGTGCAGAAGAGTTCGGAGGACAAAGGGCCAGATCGGAGGACGGAGGAGGAGAATAGAATGAAAAGGGAGGAAAGTGGGAAGCGAGAAGAGGGGGAGAAGCGGAGAAGGAGAGAGGATTAATGTAAAGTGTGCTGAGCCTCAGAGAGGAGGAGACAGAGTCACAGCTGGAGAGGAGAACGGATGAGAGGCGAGCAAACTCGGCCTTCAGCTGCCACAGGTCCCTGCAGACACAGACAGGTGGGTCAGCATGTTTACAAGCTCAGGTTGGTCATTTTGAAAACGGTCTGAACCCTGTCCTCTTCTAAAGTTCTCTCTTCTTTAGGGTCTTTGAATTCGTCCGAATGTTGATTGGTGGTGCTAATAACTGGACCAACTGTAGAGACGGTGCTCTGAGTGAAGCAGCCTCGCCTCAGACGTACCTGTCAGCAGCCGTTTTCATAGCGTGGCAGTCCCGTCTCAGAGCAGCCACAGATCTCCAGATAGACAGCAGCCAAGCCTGCTGCTCCCTCACAAGACACAGCCGACGCTACACACACACACACAAATATAGAAACACAATAACTGCCATCTGAATGGTCACTTTTAAAATCAATTAAACTGCAGACCTCTCGCTCTTTCTGCAAATCAGCCTCTCGCTGCTCTGCCTCTTCCACAGCTGTCATCCAATCATTCGTCAGCTTCTGGAGGTCCTCCTTCAGGGCGTGGTTGGCCTGCTCTGATTGGACAAGTTGCTTGCAAAGGAGACTATTGGTGTCACCTAAACTGACTGACCTGAGGAGGGAGACAATAATTTATTAAATCAGCAGCTTCAAATAAAACCACAAACGTCTTTTTTAAACTGTCATGAAAAAACTGACAATATTTGTGTAGAACAATCACGATTATAAGTGAACTTCATTAAATGAAACAGCTATAGCAGTAATTCTGGCTCTGGGTTTGATAAAGCCTTTTTAAATACAATAAAATGATGTTATGACTTTTGGCCACTAGAAGAAAACCTGTAACAAAGATGAAGGACTGCAAGCTTCAGTGGATGGATGCACCTTTACTCAGACAAAGCTTTGGAGAACTTCAATACAAATGGTTCCTGTGTTTGCTTTTCAAATAAACAGACGCATGAAAGTGGAATTTCATTCATGTTTCAGGAGGAGAAGCTCCTCCAGTGACCGAGGAGCAGACTGACAGACACGAGACTCTCTTAGTGTCCTTATGCATGTAGCAAGAGGATTAAACAAATGTTTCCTTAGAGTGAGTAACAATACACGTTTATGTAAAATAGCAAAAAGCTACATTTAAATATTGTAATATTTTTGTGACTGTTTAGTATATGTACTGTACTGTAGGTGTTTTAATTACCCTAAGAAATAAAATCATTGCATTAACTCTCAAACGCTGATTCAGCCTCCTATCAAGAGCTGAATTTACCACATGAACTTTTTTCATTCTAACCACACAGACGTGTATAAAAACTACACTGAACTATATAATAAATGTGAACTAACATCAGGCTGGTCCTGACAGCTTTGTTCCTCAGCTTCTCTGTACTTTGACATCGCTTGTTGTGTTCTGTAAAATTCAGTATTCAGACCAACATGAACACTGATGAACACATAAATGTACAATGCCTGAGGCTGGCATGGAGGAAGCAGCAAAATGATTTGACAGTAATTAGCACTGATAACTTTGCAGAGTTTCACTTTTGGTGCACAGCTGCATGAAAACGTTTGCACAATTTTGAAATGATGAGAACTTCTGAAACATCTTAAAAGCAAGAACAATAAATAGTTGTTGATGCTGCCCTGCTTTTATCCTCTGGGGTCAAAATGATCCCAGTTATTTAAACTATACAGTATAAATTGTTAATGCTGTGTTTCATGTTCTTCTCGTTTTGCAGTTTGGGGCCTGCAGACCTTCTACACAGACACCCTGTTTTTGACTGAAAATAACAGGAAATACTTTGACTTAGCACAGAGTGGTGTATGCTGAACCTTAGTCAGAATGCTGTTTTTGAATAAGCACATAATCACACTCTGGGGTCAAAGTTCACCCCATCACACCATTTCTTTAGTCCATTTTACATGTAAGGCCAATGCGACCTCTTTTACATTAACTTACTTTTGAGCAAAAATGATTCTGATTATAGTTGACGATCAGAGTCAGATCAGCACAGATGGATATATGCCACAGGTTAGTGAGGATGCTGTTTTTAAACGGCAGCAAATGATGACACCTGTGGTATTTAAAATGATCCCGAAGACGAACGAGGGCGGGGCAAGTTCGGGCTTATTCCTCTGTACTGTTCCCACCGTTTGCTGGTATGAAGCAGAGATTGTCACAGGTGATTATTTCTTCCCCTGGAGACCTGCTGTAAGGTGTAACTCGTATGTCTGACTTTTTCTGAGCCAGCACACACCTGCAGCTTAAAGAAGTCCAGACGCTTTTCTTTCCAGGCTCATTAGACAAACTACACAGTACTTTCTACATACTGACAATGCACAGCACACTGTGGGAATCATAGTTTCTAAGTTCTACATGCTTTGATTTCCAAACACAGGCGTGTCACCAGAACTTGAGGGTCTAAATTCATGTGGTCACAGCAGGTCTAACCCAGCACAGACAGACATCTCCACTTACCTCTGTTGTTCCTCCTCCAGTCTGAGAACGGCGCTTTCCAGAGAGTCATCTATGATTCTCTGTTAAAGCAAACACACAACAGCTGTATGCCGACACTCACTGTGGTAGTTTTACTGTATCGTAGCAGACAGTGTGTTAGTGGTACTGCAAATACTATTACTTGAGTCTGACCTCGGTGCTGAGCATCTGTGTATGATTATCCTGCAGCCGAAGCTCCAAATGCTGACATCGTTCTCTGTATTCCAACACCTACAATAAAACCACAATCAGTATATTTTCCATCTCCCACTGCATCTACTCCAATTATGAGTACAGCACTACTGTTTGGCCTCACCTTGTTCTGGAGCCTGTGGATCAGCAGGGCCTGCCTGGCCTCCCTCTCTCTCCCCTCCCTTACCTTCTTCTTCCATTCCCTCTGCTCACCCTCTAGTTGCAGAGAGAGAGCAAGTGAGGGAGACAACGACCGCCACAGCTGGTGGGAGGATGGAGAGAGAAAGATGTAAAGGCTTAACTTCGTCTAATGATCAGCAAAACTCCCCTGCCCCTTCTCACCCTGTCCTTCAGAGCTCTGTTCCTGGATTCCAGCTCATCTTTTTCAGCATGACTCTCTGCCAGCTCCTCCTGCAGCCGACACACCTCCTGATTAAGATGCAGCTTCTCTTCCTGCCAGCCTATCAACAACTCTTCTTCCATGTTTGGAAGTCCACCTGTCTGCAGTGCACCAGGAGACACACATGACTTTAGCAAATGAGTGAATTAATTACATTTTTTTTTGGGGGGGGGGACACACACACACACAAATAAACAATAAATTTTTTTTGGCAAAAAAAAGGTGCTTTCTTATTCGACCGTGTGTGTGTGTGTGTGTGTGTGTGTGTGTGTGTGTGTGTGTGTGTGTGTGTGTGTGCGCGCGCGCGCAATGGGGCAAAGGAGAAAAGGCAGCAAATCTTTTGTGCTGTATTTTGTATGGTCTTCACAGATCTCCATCACCCACTCCTCCTCATGTCTCTGACATAGCTGGAGGGACACAATCAGTTCATTCTGTGCAGAACTAAACTTACATGTCTCACACAGATTTTATGCAAGTGCACGCAGAGACTGAAGCAGGAAATATGAAAACCGCTGTTGTAAGACCCACCTGCGATTTCAGGTGTTGACGAGCCAGCTGATCCAAACTAGCTATGCTGAACTTACTTCATGGTACAGCCCTCAAAGCTGAGATGCCTCCAAAACTACATACTAATGTCACACGACTGTTTGGCGTTTGTGTCCAACCTTGAACTGAAATGAAACACAATCAAGGTAAATTATAAACACACAGCGCTGACTTGGCTGATGCAAATAGGGCATTTAAAAGTTACACACAACCATAACAACTTTAGATTAGGGATGTGCACAACCAGTCAACTAATCGTTGCTATTGTCACTAGAAGTTAACTGGTAGTCAGTGCTGGTGCGGTAACAACCCTAACTCTGAATTTGGACCATTCGCTGAACTTGTGCCTTCACATATTCAGGTTTCAGTGCACATGTTGCAAACACCGGCACTGCCGTCTGGCTGCGTGCAGTCTGTTCGGTCTGGGTCGAGAGCTTTCGGCCACATCGTCCTGCAAACCTTGGCTGCACTTCCTAACTGCTGCTGACAGGGTGAGGAAACGGTTTTCTTCTGACTGCCTCTGTTTTATTGAAATGCTTGGCCGTCAATTATTGTTACAATAAAGAAATAACTGAGAAAACACAAATTTCTTTACATTTGTGCTGAATGTAAATAACCTGCCTGGGGTACCAGGATTAGCAACATCCACGTAGCTTTTGGGAAGCATTAACGCTCACATCCATATTTGGCGTAGCAGCTGACCGGATGGAGACGTATGTGTACATTACGTTATTGACACTGGGTGTCACGATCAACGTACGTCGCTTAACGGTCACCGTGTTTTAAAGGTTATGAAGGACTTTTGAGGCGTTTAATCGTTTTAAGCAGGTTTTATACTTATGCAGCGTTATTTCCAGAGCAAAATAAAGCGGAGGACGTTTTATAACAGAGGTTGGTCTCTCTGCAGGTCTGGCGTGATTTCCTCCTCATCATATGAGCTAGCTACTAACTACCTGACTGTTGAGCAGGATGTTCGTTAACGTGGAAGCGCAGTTTTCCCCTCTGCAGGTAGCTGCTCGGATATAATCCCAGAGTCTGACTAATATGGCTCCAACAATCCGTTTCGTCCTCTGACTACGGGGAGCACACTTCTTCTGCCAGCATGCTAACACCAGGAAACATACATTCATTCGTTCGTACCTTAAACTGTTGCCTCGTTCAGAAAATGTCAGAAATAAAACATTAAGAGTGTAAACACAAACTGGTGTTGTCAGCGTATTCAAACCAAGAACCTCACCTCTCACCCGGACATAGACAGTCATGTGATCCCACCGAAACGGAAACTTCCGCTTTGAGCGACACCTGCTGGCAGGAAATATTTACTAGTGATGATACCACTGATTTCCTTTCCGATCCGATACCAAGTAGTATTCAGGATGGTGTCGACGATACTGATCCGATACCGATACTTTATACAAAAACTTATTTTATTTATTGTATTTCAAATTATAGCGTCATCATGATCACAGGACATCAGATTACTTGTTCTTATCACTTAATAATGCAGAGTTCATCATATAGAAATAAAAAAATGAAGTTGTGCCTATTTGAACACGTTGCCTGCCTGCAGCACTAAAGCACTCTGTGAGAGACGTCTGTCTCGCCCCAGCAGCACCTGTCCCTGTCCTCCTCTTCAGTCTCAACATACGCTCGTCATATTCTGTGATATGATTTACTCTGAGGTGTTTGACAAGGTTAGTGATGTTGCCACAACCATACATGCCAACCCTCCCGATTTTTCCGGGAGAATCCCGAATTTCAGTGCCCCTCCTGAAAATCTCCCGGAGCCACCATTCTCCCGAATTTCTCTTGATTTTCCACCCGGACAACAGAATTGAAAAACCATATTGCAGAATTCATAGCGCGGCCCTGCCAATTCCAGTTTCCAACAATGGCGGCAGCTGCTTAGTTTTAATATTACTCTTATTTCTCTTCCTGGGTCGCAAAAAAACTTTTCAGGTGAGAATGTAGCTGTGTGAACTTCAAACATCTGAGCCGACCGACACATCGTCTTCAAACCCCCGCGGTCTTTCACCACTCAGGTTAAACATGATGTACAAGTCACTTTGATAACTTAAAAATGTTATTGTTTGGCTTTTTCAGTGTTTTATTTGTTCGTGAGTAAATCGGTTTGGCTGAGATTAAAGTTATTAGATTAGATTAAATTAATTGTAACTTTATTATTCCACACAGCTGAATAAACGTCAAACTGAAAATGATTAAACAGAAGTGAGAGCCGGTGGAGAGTTTACGTCAGCGCCCGGTTATATTAGAGAGCAAGGAGCAGATGGCAGAGTTTCACTCCACCGAGGAAGCGCATGACGTACCCCGGCTTTCTTTAGACCACGAAGGCCGAGTCCTCAGGTGGAAGCAACCTCTGAATTTGGACACTCCTGCTGTTTCCAGGCCGGCCAATAATAACGGTGACAGCCCTTTTGAATATCTCCATAATTCTGAGGTCTCAAGGTTGGCAAGTATGGCCACAACACCTCACTCTTGGAGCACTTTTTTGCCACATGTATCGCAAACCACGTCTCAGCTGTTTGTGGAGGTAAAATATGTCCACACATGACTCCAATTACGCTCAGCCATTGTTGTGAGTGCGCACGCCAGCGGCTGCAAGACATTTATACAGCCGTATTTCGCCCATAACTATGAAAGGCGGAAGGGGAAGTAGTTCCTTTGAATGTAGAAAATCCGAATGTTATAGTTTCTTTCCACTGTGTTCCTGTTAATGATAAACTACAAATTTACCCTAAAGTACTAAAATATCGATATTTTAATGTGAGAATCGATAAATGATTGGTATCGGAGGAATCGATATTTCAGGATCGATCCGCACATCACTAATATTTACATTTCTCTGTTTATTCTGCGCTTTGTCAGCATGTTTGCAGCTGCCTTAAGACGTACATCCTTCAACAAACACTATTTTCACCCTGTTAACATATATTAGGTTGTTTAAATTGCTTAGTAATTAAGCACAAAACACTGCTTGTTGTGATAACAACAAAGGTTTGTAGTTGTTTGGGGGCTGGGTCACCTTAGTTTGAGCTTTCTGGGAGTTGTCGTCAGATTTGTTTTACACACTAACAAACAAAGCTAGAATCACGCTGTTTTATTTTTACAGCAGTGAAAATAAATGTGAATTCCCCTTTTTTACCAACTATAGTCTTGTGTAAAGACATTATCAAGTTTACTGTTAGTGCAGAAAATGGAACTCAGCCAAGCTGGCTCTTGAAACTGTACATGGTGGCAAATTCAGTTGTGTAAATCCACAAAGAGCAGTAGGTCAGCGGATTACAGCATGTACACAAAGAAAATCTACTAGAGCTCACATTAGAAATTATGGTTAGTTGTGACAAGACTACAGTTTCCCCCACATGGCAGATCTCACTTTAACCCCTGACTGTACCCATTTTCCTGTTTAGGTACTTTGTCACTTTTACTTGCATAAAGAAGTTAATTCAGTAATTCAACTAATACTGCAGTATTTTTTTAACACAGGTACCTGTACTTCTACTTAAATACAGAATGTCTGCACTTTTCCCACCTGTGGTTATGAGTACCATTCACAGAGAGGTGGGGAATGACTACAATCACAGCAGTGTAAGATTGGGAAAGATGTACGCTAATATGTACCTTCTCCAATATCAGCATGGAGGAAACGAAGGCATTCACATTTCAGTGGATGCACTGTGTATATGTATAGCAAGCAGTAAGGTATTGAGGCCTCATGGTTGTTTTAGATTATGTTTATTTTAAGTACTTATTTCTCTGTATTAGGTTTAAGAAATTAGCAGCAGGAAAATAAGTTCATGTCCAAATATATGTTACATTACATGTTTAGCAGATGACGATCTCTTTATTATCTAATTTATTTCTTGTTGCACTTTACATAGAAACAGGAGCTGAAGTGTTATTTGCGCTTAATTTCAATAAAGGAGCTGGATTCCAAGCCACATGTTTTATGAACTGGCAAATCTACTCTGAAACATGAAGAGTGGGTCTCCTCTGTTCAGAGAGGGTAAGAGGGTACCATCTTACAGTGCTCTGATTGCAGCCATCCCCCAACTCTCTGTGTATGGTACTCATAGTCATAAGCATCATGACCTCACAGGCCATTGCTAGTCAGTGGTGTCAGTTTCGGTCATTATGCAAATGACTGAAACTGGCTATAAGGTTAAGGAAACCTACTTCCAGCCATCCATTTTTCCATTATCAGCCTGTTTCAGTTTAAGCGATGTTTTCAATAAATTGAGTGCTGAAAAAATATGTTTTGTATCACTAACATTTCTTCTTGTTGCATGTTGAAGCTCTAGTTCAAACCTTGTTAAGAACCAACCATGCAAAATATGATTTTCATGCCATTTTTCAAGTGGTCTCAAACTTTTGATTGGGACTGTACCAGATTATTGTAGTAAGTAAGTAATTAAATACTTGTTGATGGAGGAAAGCTGGAACATGGACTTGATATAGGGTTTTATGGGGTAGCTGAACTACGTTGTAAACCTTATCTTCCACAAGAATGATTTTTGAGGTAGAATTTTCTTTCATTTCCACAATTTTGTCATATAGATTTTGGACAACAAAAATATTCCTGGTGAGTTTTCTAAATGTCCTCAGCAGTGATTTTCAGAAGGGTAGTGTTTTGTTTTGTTTGTTTTGGAACAGAGTACCATAGCACAGGGCTGTGACTCATCCATATAAGCTCTAGAAAGACATAGTCAAGGCATAGTGTTAAACCTGCCTTTTTTGTATTCCACTGTAAAAAATCGTTGTAGTGCAGCTGTACGTCATTTCCCGGCAGTTTGCTGCACAGTCGTATTCTAAAGCGAGTGGCTGTTTTATGACATGGACATATTCCCGTCTCTTCACTTTTCTGAAACAAGCAGACAAGAACATTACAGTAATATGTAAGCTATATCCTGGGGAGAAAAAACTATCGGCTGCTGTTAATAGCACGAGTAATCTACTGAAGCGCCTGACACAGAGCATAGACCAGGGGTCGGCAACCTGCGGCTCCGGAGCCATATGCGGCTCTTTAGTCCTTATACTGCGGCTCCGCGTGGTTTGGGAAAATAAATGAGAAGTATTTAGCTGAAGCGTATTTTATTTATGTTAGTTATTTTTTAACTTGTAGTTCTACATTGGAAGATTATTGTGATATTGAAATATAAAAATTAAGTTATATTCTATTATTTTTTCATCGCTCAAAATAAGCGTCACACTCGCAGAAGCCGGTGTTACCACGCCAGATCCGCGATCCCGAACCGTAGTAAGGAAACCTCTGGCAGTTACTTGAAGGTTCCGTAACTGACTCGTAGCCGGCAACAGCTTACTATACAGGTCAACTCCGCTAGCAAAAAGATCGAAGGAGGCGTAGGAAACTGCTTCACCGAACTTTATTTCTTCTCCAAGGCACGAACACCACGTACAGTGGGCTGAAACAGTTTACTCACAGCGAGCATCGCCGACACAACTCTGGCTGTCGAGGGAGTTATTATATAGGAGTTATTATATTCCTTTTATTTATTTTCTCTTCGTCTCTTCCGTAGCTAACCGTTACTTTTTTTCCTTCTCCCGCTACACACATCCCGAATACATTTCCCATCAGGCTTCATCCTTAAAGGGCCATTCCTTTTAACACGACCGAAATCAATGTCAGAACCGCTTTCGTCGAGTGCTGGAGGAGGCACCTCGATAGGTGCTGCCTGGTCGGAGTCTTGGAAGACCCAGCTGTTGTCCAACGGCGTTCTTGAGTGAGTGATAAGGCTTGAGTCTGTCGTGATGAACCACTTTAGCCTTTGCTCGGGGCCCCTTTTTAATGCAGTAGACCAAATCATCCAGCAGGCCCACTACGAAGTAGGGGCCCTCATAGGAAGGCAGAAACTTGCGAACCTTGTGCCGCACTCTCTTGATCCCTTTGATCAGATGCCACACTGCAGCGCCGACTTGATACTGAACTTGGCAGATATTCTTATCGTACTGTTTCTTAGCACGCTCAACAGATTTCCCGAGAGCCTCCCGTGCCAGTTGGTGGGAAAGCTCCAGCCTTTCCCTGAGTTGCACCACATACTGTGGTGCAGTGCAGTTGGGGGTGTCGTCGGCCGGCAGACCCGCGACCAGGTCAATAGGCTCGGTTATCTCTCGCCCCAGAAGCATCATGTTTGGGGTCAGTCCTGTGGAGCTGTGTTTAGTTGCCCGATAAGCCATGA